TAACATTAGATACTTTTTATTTTATTTTAAATATGACTATATTTTTTTCCCTCTCAATGACAAGCCTTCTCTTGTAGATTTAGCTAATTAATTAATTTATTGCCTAGTTGGAAGGATGAACAAAAATAAAATAAAATTGAAAGAGTTATATATGGTGATTGCAACTAAGACTTCTTTAACATCTTCACAAATAGGCTGAATTCTTCACCAAACTTAATCTGATTCCAATGTTACATAGGAAGAGGGGAAAAAAAAAGAGCTTCATTGACGTGAGAGATGTGAGAATTTTTTTTTATTTAAAATGAAAAGACATCTTAATTTATTTAAATAATAAGTTTTTCTTTTTACATAGCAAAGAGATGAAACTATTCATACAAAAATAAATATACATGACATAATATGTTTATTCATGAGAGCACAAATGAAAAGAAGGATGATTTTTATTTAAGATGTCAGGTGAAAAATATTATTATTAATTAAAAAGACACTTAAAAATGCTGAAACTTTTTATAGAAACATCATTTAAAATAATGTTACTCTTATGGGTTATTAAAAAATGTGTACAAATAATAAAAAAATTTAAACATAATAAACACATATCTTGAGACTTTTTTTAAAAAATTGTTTGTCTTATCTTTAATATATAAAAGATAATAAATAAAATATTTATTATGCAAAAGTAATTATTAACACAAGAACTTTTTTATTATATCTTAGAAAAAATTCATTAAATCTATTTTTCATTTATAAAGACAAATCAAATTTAAAAAAAAAACATATATCTATATCTTACTTAAAAATATTTAGCACACTTCTTTTATTATCCTGAATAGATATATCTTTATAAATCTATAACATGTTTAAAGTTGTGTAATCATAGACAAACTTTCTTTTAATATAATACGTGCGTCTCACATCTCTTTAAATATTCTAAAATTTCTTTGGAAGATCTTTTCCTCTTCATTTTTTATTCAGATTTCATTGCAAAGCACTTAAAATTAGAAGTAATATAAGTAATACAGAGAGAGACAGAAAGAGTTAGATCCACTGAAACCAACTTAAATATTGATTATTTTAATAATTTTTTATAAAATATAAAATTCGTTAATTCAACTGTTAAATTATTTTATATTATTTTTTTATAATACATATTAATATGATAAAATATTTATTGATTTTATTTTTAAAAAAAACTTTTAGTTTTTCTCTTAACTCTTTTATATCTTAACATGTATACCCAGTAACCACTCACTGATTACTTTTTATCCTCAATTATATATGGCATCATATTTAAAGTAGTTGGTGAGAGAATACTTGATATATAAAAATACTATTAATTTAGTGAATGGTGTTTCAAAGAATCAATACAAGGGAGCCTTTAATTACTTCATCTCACTTCTGTGCTCTGATCCATGCCTTGAAAAATGCTCCAACCTGCTGGGAATTAATGAATGATGAATCAGAAGTTCAAGATACTATTCAAATAATTTATAGATTTTGTTGTCTTTTCTATTATTATTTTACAATATATTCAACTTTTGAACTATAATTCTCTTAATTTTATACATCAGGTGGTATTAGGTTAAAAGAATATTGTATACACCTTAAATACTCCCAAATATTTGAAAACATAATGATTAATGATCTTATTTGCTTTATGATATGATCAATATCTTTTGAATGAAAGCTTTATATTGAGCTCGATTCTATATGCGGATCGCACTCATTTTTCTTATATACAGAAAACGAGAATCCTGGAAAAAAGGAAGAACCTTGCAGAGTTGTACACAACAACCAAGAAATGCTGTTTATTGCTCCATTGGAATGGATATCCTCAATTTGTAGCACAATGGCTGAATCCCTCCTTCTTTCAATTTATGGAATTGAGGGGAAGAAAGATTTATAAGCCTAAAGTTACTATAGTCTTTTATTTAATTTATATTTAATAATTAATAAAATAATAAATTATAATTTATTAATTATAAATTAAATAAAATATTCCAATTAAGTGTAAAATTTTTTAAATTTATATTAATGTAAGAACATTTGTAATAAAATATTTTTTGTTTTTACAATTTTTTTGTTTATATTTCAAACTATAATTAATTTATAATTCTAATATTTAATTATAACTCTCTTATATAGAATAAAAATGGAACAAATTCTTAACTTATTTAAATACTAAGGCTTTAAAGGTTTTTTTCCTGCCAAATAAGATCCATAATCTTGTTATTTCAAGTTCTTTCATTTATATTTATATGATCAATGTTTATTAACATTCTTAAGATAACAGTTAATGAATTAAAATAAAATTTTTATTAACATACCAATTTCATATATTTTTAATAAAATTATTCGTTTTTATTTTTTAACCCATAAAAAAATTTGCCACTATTCATTTACGTTTTGATTATATATGGATCACATGAAAAATGTTTTTGTTAGTGTTCATGTATAATTGGATGGCTCACACACGTAAGTTCACATGATTTTCACAGCTTCGATATGGGTACATCATGTTACTGCATATTTATTTATAATATTTGTCGCAATTAGGTTATATATGTATATAGAATTTGAAGATCTAAACCGAAATATAAGATTTTAGAAAGAATTACAGAAATATAAATTTAAAAAAATCTCACTGAATAAAATATAAAATTAGTACATGTATATTTTTCCGAACCCTGTATCGGAGCACATGAGGAAGACGAAAATTCATGCCTGAGGATGTGTTGATGTGGAACACTATTTGACTGTTTTCCCAGTCTTCAAGGCCTCTGTGGATTCTTAGCTGTCTGTGAAACATTAACAACTTGGATGATTTTGAAGTCTGTGTTAAAAATGGCGATATAATCTGAGTATCAAATCCAAAGTTGTTCTCTTAGAGGTAGAGAACATGACACCCATACTTCAATTTTTGGGTAAAGTATTCAGGATTAATCGTCAAACATCTGTGCTTCTATTCAATAAATCTTCAAGAAATAATGCAATTCGGTTTAAATAATATGACATTTATTTTATTGCCGAACACCTAAGAATCTTTTTCAACTTTCAGACATTTATTATAAAATGAATAATAAGTAAATGATTGACAACTACTAATACCAATTCATACTACAGAATGATTAAATTTAACTTAATATGCATTAGAAAATTTAACAATGAAAATAAGTACAAATAATTTAGGCTATTATCCAAAAAAAAGTCTTAACAGAGTACACTAAATCATCATAATTTAGTAGCTTAAGGAGTAATTATATAGTGCGTCGGCAGAGGGGTCCAAAGGAAAACAAGACACGGGTGATGATAATCTTGAACAAAATCATAAGCTTCTGAATATTTAAAACGCCACAATCCTTCTTGTCCATGCTTCCTTGGCTTTCGTATCTGACTTTCAAATAATTAGTATTATATATTTGATTCCCATTGAATGGGATTCATGAGGTCAACCACAGCCCTCAAATAAAGGGCTTGATCACAGCTTAGAGAAGGCCCAATTGGGTCTTCCCCAAAGTTTAAAATCTCAAGTGCTCTTCTAAAGATTATGTATAAAGATCATTATTAATTACAAAACTCTGCATTTTCATCAAGTTGATTGTACTTTACCATAAAGTAATGATTCAATATAAATTAAGGAAGCTCCTAAATTATTCATATTACTATAATCATCCTCTCAAAATCTCGGATCATTCTAAACCAATCAGGACATGAGAGAGAAATAGTGGGTGTCCTCATAGTTAATGCTTCCGGCTTAAATACTTAATACAACTTTTACTTAAATAAATATTTTTCTATTGTGCCTTTTTTAATTAATATAAACTAATAAAATTTATTTAAATACACTAATAATATAAACATTTTTACATTATCTCTAATCATAAATTCTCATAGAAAAAAATTATAATAATTAATATAAAAGTTATATTAATAATTCTAGTTAGTTAGCCATGTAAAATTTTAATCATCTTTAAACGAAATAGCTACTTCCTCATAACCCACCTACAATTGAAATCAAAGATGCCCCGTTAACCAAACAAATTGGTGATGATCTATTATTTTCACCTACTAGTTTTGTTGTATTGGTTTGAAAGATGATAATCCAAGTATTCAAAATAACCTATTTAAAAAGCCTATGAGTGATGCATGAGAAGGAAACTGCCCCCACTTGATTAAATACACTGCGCAGCCCTCACTGAAACAGAACTATGACTGTGAACATGGATTGACCTTAGCAAAATAAATAGTTGATGATTGACCTTTGCCAAACTAACAGCAAAATAAATAGTCGATGATTGACCTTTGCCAAACTAACCACTAAATCCAAAACAGCCACGTGAAGCAAAAAACTATGCATTTTTTAAGGTGACATGATTCAACCATAAGGAAATAGAGTTTATAGCAAATCCTTGATTTGACCAAGAATTCTTATTCATGTCAGTGATGCAATGTTCTGTTTTTTTGTGTAAGACAATGTTAGATACTTGACGTTTCAAATGTTACTCACTTGGTTTCCTTCGCAGTACATTGCACATAACCCAAATCTCTCCATCTTGCATTGTCTAAGCAACAGTTAGTCCAATTAATCAAATGCACTTTCAAACCATATCAAGATTTAAAGAATAAAATTGCAATGGTTCCTACAAGTCAAACCGACAATATTCTACACTAAAAAAGACTTAACCAAGGTTAACACCATCAATATAACAATTAATTATTAATCCTATAAGGGTACCTATGTCTAAAATTACCCTTCTTGATATGCTACACAGCACGAAATTTTGATCCACGAAAAGTAACAAAATCTGTACACTAATATAAAATCATTAATACGTGTGTGTTTGAATTTAATGTATCCTTTTATTAGAATGCTACTAATTTTAACTTTTACGTTAATATAATTTTAAAACAATTAAATGCGGTTTCAAACATATATTCCCGTCCCTACTGTTTCTATGTTTTAATGTTTACTCATCAATAGCTTACAGCCAACCTTTTTAACAACTTGCCTTGGAATTTTGCCCCTTGTCAACCCAAACCACATACGTAAAAGAAATTGATGATAAATTGATGATAGCTACCATGTAAAAGAAGGAACACAAAATGAAGCAAGTTACAGTCCAATACAATTTTTTAAGGAAGTGACTCCACCATCCACAACAAGATTATGGCCACTAACATACTTGGATTCATCACTAGCAAGATAAAGTGCGGCCTCAGCAATGTCTTTAGGCCTTAAAGTAGTTCCTTTTAAGTTGGCAAGCCCTCGAACAAACTCCTCCATTTTCTCCACCTCCTCTGGGAGAGGGAACCCAAAATTGATGCACTCATCACCAACCTCTTCATCACTGTGCCTCCATGCATTCACAAGCATGGAAGTGGCAACCCCAAATGGAGAAATGCAATTGACCCTTATCCCATACCTTCCCAATTCGCAAGCAGTGTTCTTAGTGAGCCCAACAATTGCATGCTTTGAAGCGGTATAAGCATGTGGTCCAAGCCCCCCCATGAGTCCAGCTACACTAGAAGTGGATATTATGCATCCAATTCCTCTAGGAATCATCACTCTAGCTGCATGCTTCATCCCTAATGCCACTCCCTTCACATTCACACACATGACTTGGTCAAATTCATCAGGGTTAAAATTCACAATGCTCTTGTTCTTAGATTGGTTCCCTAGCACCCCTGCATTGTTGAACATGATGTCAAGTTGTCCGTAGCGTGAGACTGTGGAACTAACCAAGTTCTCAACCTCTTTTTCCAAGCTAACATCACAGTGGACAAAGGTAGCTGAAGGAGATAGTGTCTCTGCAAGCATCGCTCCAGCTGCATCCTCTATATCAGCAATCACCACCTTCGCACCATGCTTCACAAAAACTCTCACTGTTGCTTCACCAATGCCTCTAGCACCCCCAGTAACTATAGCAATTTTTCCTTCCAACCTGTAACAATATATCAAATATTTCATAAGAACATAAATTAAGAAAAAGATATTAAAAAAATATGCTTAATTTTGTTCATTTTTTGTGTGCAAAGTCTAGGAGGATCAATGCCATGAAAAATACTAACAAAATTTTTTATTTTAACACTCTTTCACACATCTTTCGAAATTCGTTAATTTTTTAAACAGTTAATGCAGTTAAAAAATAATTAATTTATGAGATAAATACTTTGAGTTTTTAAAAAAAATACACCAATCATTATCTTAGATTTTTTTTATGTGACTTATATATTTAGTTGTTAGACCATGCTAAAAAGATGCATAGTTTATAGTATTGAAGATTGTGAACTATACCCATTCATGGGGTGGAAAGGACAAATATTTTTGTCCTAACATGCTTTCACCAATTTTCTTCATAAACTAAAAATAATTTGCAGAGGGTAAATAGAAACGGAGAAATTAAAGATGTAAAAACTTTAGCACCTTTTAGATGAAGGAGGAAAAGTGGGGTCTGTGACCTGTGGAGGAACTCCCTGAAGGGGTTTCTCAGACATTACAATCATGGTGGAGATTTAAGAGGGAGCAAAGCAGAGAGAAAGACAGAGGAAGCAGAGAGGCTTGATGAATGCTGTGTACGTGGTGTTACAAGCGCATATCCGGTTATATATATATACACGTGTATAAGCTGCCTTGCCTCCTATTCTGTTTCTTGTTTCTATTGTTGGTATCCTTAGAACATCCATATCTGGCATTAAATTTTTGTCATTTAATATTATATTTTAACTATTATTATTTAAATATTTTAAAAATTAATAATTAAAAAATAAATGTTAGGCAACGTCTAAAGTCATTGTAACACTGCATAGGCCTCTTTTAAATGATATTAAACATGAGAAAAATATATATTTAGATTAAAAAAGAGAGAATTGAAAAAAAAAAAAAAAAAAACAGACTTTGTTCTATATTTTCTTCACTTTCTCCTCGTTATGCAAAATCAAGTTCATCATATTCACATTCATTAAAATTCTTCTTGTTTACAATATTTTCAAACTTATCTCTTATATGTGACCGTCTACGTATCAACAAAAGAGAATTTTGTAAGAGAATGTCCTAAAGATATTGACTGAAAAATTAATAAATAAAACCTTTATTAAAAATTATTAAACTATATATTTATAATTCTAAAAACTATTCTTTACATAAAAAATTGTTTTTAATATAATAACAGAAAAGTTGCATTTCAAATTATATTTCGGATATTTTTAAATTATTTGTCGTTTAAAGTAATGTATACATAAGGAAATTATTAGTTGTCTCAATTAGTATGACAAAATAGTTTTATATGACTAAAATATTCCTTTGAAAAGAGTTAGAGTATAATTATGAATTAATTAATCATTTATGTATGATACTAATAAATAAGGGTATTTTTTTTAAGTAATTAATATTTTCTTATTATTAAAGTGGCAAATAGAGTGTGTGTGTGTGTATATATATATATATATATATATATATATATTGAATGGTATTATCTGTTAAAATATCAATTTAAAATATTTTCAAACACTTATTGTTGGCACATATTAGTGAAAAAATTGAATGAAAAAAATATTAATGGTATATTACTTTTTTTATTGATTGAAATTTATGTGAAATAGAGTAAATAATTAATGTGTGTTTAATTTTATTTAGTGGGTTTATTTTCTTTTTTTTAAAGGTTTTTTAGTTTTAAAAAATATTTTATTTTTATTTTCACTTCTAATTACAAATTTTTACCTTATTTTATTTTTAAATATTTATACAAGAAACCATAAAATTCGAAATTTTAAAAAATAAAAAATGAAATAAAATAAAATAAAATAGTTTTTCTGGTTAAAAAATAAAAACAAAAAATATTTTCTAAAATAAAATAACCCTCTGTCTTTTCTTTTAGAAATGTTCATGAATATAAACAACACAAACTCTAACATATTTTTTGGAACGCACTTTTTATTATTAAATAAATTGAATTAGATCCTTTAAATAAGAAGCAAGACTTACATCATTCAATAAATCTTAATTAATATTAAAAAGTATATTATTAATATTTCAGTAATCATAATTTTTCTGTAATGTGTCTGAATCATAAACTGTAATTAGACTGTGAAACCAATGGCAAGTTCGTCTCTATCAAATGGATAGGACAAAAGAAATATAACCCCAATTAAAAACTAAGTAGATTCATTTTTACAAGCTATGCTTTATTTCCCATCATAGAGATATTCTTATATATGTTTCACATGAATCATATGTTAATTAAATGTGATTAAAAAATTACAATTTGAACATTGATCTCATTATTAAATCAAAGAATAGTATAGCTAGAACACTTCATGAGACCCAAAAACAAAACGGGGAGGGACCATACACCATTAATGGAAGTTACATGACAAAAGATCTAAGCAAAGTGTATTGCGCTTCTGGTCCCCAAATGTATGTTCATACAAAACTGAATCATAAGGAGAGAAAGTAGAAATATACAATTCACTTGGCCCTAGCGTTAATTATGATATTTCAACAACTAAACATCGATATTAGTAAAAATATAAATTTAATTTGTACTCAAAATAAATTCAAAGATAAAATCTTATATTTTATCACGAGTTTGAACTGATTCATGAGACCTGTTTTGTTGGTTTTACTTTTAGTCATACACAAAACATTATTGGTCCCATGGTAGCACTATGTTCCACTTTGATATTTAGTGATCATCATAAAAGACCAACTTTGCACACAGACGTGACACTAACACTTATACATGTATTTATATGCTTTTGCTTCAACATGTAGAGGGTTCAAATCCAAAACTATGAAGCTTTGGTTCTAATCTACAAGCAAACTTTGATGGCAACAGGAATAAAGAAGAAATATTGTGCTCAAGCACTGGCTCATTATTTTGTGCCATGATGAGTGACGTGAACACAGAAAACAACGAAGGCAAAGATATTATAACACAACAGCTTTTAAGTGGCCAAACACACTTCAAAAGTATCTTGTCGCTTTTCATTCATTGTGCCCAACATCTTTCCATCACCGTCTGTTTTGAAATGTGCTTCCTGCTTTTCATCTGTGCTTTATTTAAAACCCCTTCAGAGGATAACAATGTTTTTCCTACATTAAGGAGATAAAACAATTTTGTTATTTTTTATGCTCTTCTTCAAAGTTTTTATCGACTAAGGTTCAGTTTCAACTAACTTATAATTAATAGATACTTACAAGAAATTAAATAAATTAAATTTTTTGCACATCAATTTTTCAAAATACTTCTCTGTTTATATAATCTCTTTAAGATTGTCTTGCATTAGTTGGTTTTAGCTTATATAATAAGTAATAAATATTTGTTGAGAAGTTTATTTGATGCATTAACATGCATCAATGTAGCCCATTTGGGCTTCTGTTGACCGAAGATGCATTAATTGGCAATAATCAACTCTTACACAAATATGGGCTTCACACTCGAATTCCTTATGGGCTAAGATTTAATAAAACAATTTCTTTGTGCTCTAACCAGCCCGAGGTGAGGCCCACAAGTGAGTCAGGAAAGAACCATCACCTCTGCATCTTTTAACTTTTCTGAGAAATGGTGTATATTCTTCTTTTGATTCTCTTATTCTCTCTATTTCCATTTTTATTTGTAGCAATAACATTTTTTAGCCACCAGGGTACCGAAATGATTAAGGTTATTGATTTCATATACAATGGAGCTACTAAATCCAAATTTATATCAAAAGAGCGTGAGTGATGTGAAAGGGAAAACGAACCATCCCATTGCATTCTTTAATCAAATAATGCATCCAAAGTAATTTTGAAGTAAAAGATGGAAGAGATTACAAATTCATCACATGCCTTTCTATTCATGTTGTAATTTTGTCATTTGTAGTAATTATTACAAATTTGTCATTTTTAAGATGATGAAGAGTGAAAACAAAGGAAGAATTGAGTGTAGTTAGCTAGGATTATTGTTCACCGTCCCATGCTTTATAATTCTAAAGAACAATTCATTATCGATCATTTACTATCTATTCAGTAGTAGTTAGAACAGTGACTAACTAAACTAAGCTTTAGTGTTTACTTTAAATATCAAATTTATTAGCTTGTAGTACTTGTTTTCCTTGCTTCCAAATTTAAACAAATTTAATTTCATTTTGGCTCTTGCCTTCAAAACTGTGGCTTCCTTAGCTAATTAAGCAGTTCACACACACACACGCACGTCCCAACCAACAATAACCCAAGATTTCATTACTTGCTACTTGCTCTAGTTCTATAATTAATGCTTCTCTCACGTGATAAAACAAGTGCTTATTCTTCTTCTTATTCCCTAGCACTTCTATAATCCTCATTGCTACCAAACATTAAAATTAATTGATGCAAATGACCTAAACAAAGAAAGCTCAAGTCAGAAAAAGGGATATCTTGAACATTGTTGTACAATGTAAAAGGGTTCCCTTAGTTCCAGCAAATGATCTGGCAACAAATTAAACACTAACTTTTAGAAGATAGTAAAGAATTTTTATATCTAATATACTGCCACCTCGAACAAATAATATATTTTGGAGTTGAATGGTTTTGTAGTATATTAATGAAATTTTATTAAAAATTATGAGTCTTCCTTTTAATTTAAATATTCTTATATAAATAAGAGTTCGTTAAAACATATATTATTAAAACTAAGCTACAAGAATTACCAACTAAAGGTGTATGGTTTATTTTAGATTTGGAAATATAAATATTAAGTGAAGGTCTAATAAGTAGTGTAACACATTAGCAAGAGTAGTTGATTTGGTGGGTCCAAAAATGCCAAATCAGTCTTGGGCAGGTGAATACACCATATTGAAGGTTACCAACCGGAGATTTGTGGGACAAAAGAACAGTTCCTCCCAAACTGAATCCACTAATAAACTAGCTATTAGGAGTCAAAGAAACTAACCAAAAGCATAGACTTAGCTTAGCAAGAAGAAAAGGTACCAACGAATTGAAATTCCCCCACCAAGCATATATATATTAATCAACCAACAAGTTGCTGCCTATGCAGTGGTCTAAACTGTTTGTTGAAGGTGATCTTCATTCTTGTTGGGAATTGAAAAAAGTTTCTCAATTGCTTACCCCAACTTAGGAAAGCAATTCCCAAAGCTTTCAAGCAAAGTTTACATCATTGTATGCACTTCCATTCCATGTATATATTCATACAAGCTTATAAAAGGGTTATATGTTTTTTCACTTCCTAGAAAAGAAAAAGGATAAGAAATTTGTATATGTATGTTTGAGTTTGACTAAAATATAAGCTATTTTAACATATTATATATTGTGTTAGCTTCTAGCTTATCATATAACTTATCAATGTGTTTATTCGAAAAATATATATTATATGATCAAACATTATGTGTCTCTAGTGATATACATAATCAAGTGTTAAGAAAATGTTTTGAATGAAAGAGCAAAGTATCCAAAGACGAATTGGTGGTTCCATATGATGATGTATCTTCTTGATTCTGTTGCTCTTAATTTTATATAATTAAAACTGGGACAGCTTCCTATACCCCCTTGATTAAGGCTTCTCCTAACTTATTACTAAAGACCGAATACTTTGATGGAGTGTACCAAAAGGTTACAATGGAAGGGTGTGTGCATATACGGGAATAGGATCAATGGAGTTAAATATTAAATTTAATAAAAATATTTTTTATAATTCTACATAAAATAATATTTTATCAATATAATCATTGAATCATGTGATATTATCTTAGTGATTATACATATCAAATTTTATGTGATTTAGACATTAATAAATATGTAATATAATATAAATGATGTGATCATTTTATAATTTTTTAAATATATTTTAAATTTCAAAATAAATTCAAGTACAGGCATATATTTAAGTATTGGTCAAATAAAATAAAACATTGAATAATTAATTAAAATTTCCATCTAATATATATAAATTTAAAAAATGTATCAGAATGAAAAACATGTACAAATTAATTCACTTTCAAAAGTCAGAATTCAAATTGATTAATGAATAAACACACGTAGGACAGAAAAAGCCAACACTCTTCCACTGCATACAAATTACCAGGTAACAATAAAAGTTTTATTTTTAATAATAGTTAGAACTGCATATATACGCTTCAATTCATGTGATGGAGAATTTGGGGGAAAAAGTATGAAAGTTGAAAAAGAAAAGTAGCAGAAGGGCAGGTCCACAGTCCACTCATGGTGTTGGAAAGCGCTTCTCAATTTCAATTTCACATGTACCTAACAAAACCGAACCTTTTGTTTCTATCTTTGTGATTTTCAAAAGTTCAATGAGAATCACTTGACCCAAAACAATGAGAATCAAAGAATCTTTAAAAGGGTAGCAAGTATTTTCCCAGAAAATGCAAGGAATTGTAGCTTTTCCTTTAGTCTTGATCAGGGTCAGCTTCATACAAAATGCTTCGTTTCAAATTACAATCACAAACAGTATCATACTTATGTTTGATGTACTTTTTGATGATTAAATTTCTTTTGATTAAGATAAATACGTCTTTTCAATATCATTCTCACTTCAACAAATGGGTCGAGAGGGATTAATTAGCATATAGCAATATAATATTTATGTTCTGTCATCTGTGATCCTGAAGAAACATGGTAACTTCAATTCTACAGCTATAGCAAACAATATTACCTACAATAAGAACAAAGCTTGTTTTGTTTAGTTTTTAGTTAGAATCAAGTTTAACGGAATGCAAAAAAATAAAATAAGTACAAATTTTAACACATGTAACAACCTTTCAACATATTACTAAAGTAACTAAACACAATAAGTACAAATTTTCTCATTCAATTACATAAATAAAATGATGTTATAGTATTTTATTATAAATTATGTCCACACACAAGTTATTCCCTTCTAAATTTATTTTAATAATTTCACTTATAATATATTTTTGTCCTCCTTTACATGTAATTAGCAATCAGACCATTCTTCTTCTTCTTCTTATTATTATTATTATTTTCTTTCAATATTCTTATTGAAGTTTCGTAGGATTTTTTTATACATACTGAAATAGATGTGATAAGTTTAACATGTTAAATCAACTTATTTTTTTAAAAAAACTGAAAATAATAAATATACATTTTTTAAAAATTTTCTCATTCAGAAAAAAGTAAATTTTATTTAATTTTTTATCAAATACTCAAATAAATAAATTAAATTTATTTATAATTTTTAATTACGAATTATATTGATTTTGAGAACACCATATTTATAGAGTTAAATTTATCTATCATCTTCATCTTTTTTAAGTAAAGAAAGTCATAAAAAATTTTTAAAAATTAATTTAACTTTAAATTTAAAAAAACTAAAATTATTATTTCTCTAATTGCAAAGATTAAAAAATATATTATTTTAAATATATATAATTTATAATATAAAAATAATGAAATATACATAATTCATATTAGGTGATGTATATATAAGTCTTTCAAAATTTATAATCACACTAACAATGACTGACCTTCTGGTAATCCCATTGGGATGAGGTATGGCTGCTGTCTCCAAGACAGTGGGATCCACAGGGGCGCCGAATTCCCATGTCTGATCAAATGACGTTTTCAAAAGGTCTTCCTTAACAAACGCTCTCTTTCTATAATCATATTTTTTGGAATTTATGAAGATAGTGCCTGCATTATCAATTCTATTATTTTTATATTTCCAAGTTAATTTTCTTCGTCTTTAAATAGGATTCCAATAAATAAAAATATAACCTTTTTATGAATATTTAAAGACAAACCAGTGTTTGCTTGTATCCAAACAAAGGATGTTAGAAATACAGGCAGACAAGATGATGTCTCTATAATAATAAATAAGGGTCACACTAAGGTATACCCCAAGTCCCAACACTGTCACTTTTTCCCCTTGCCCACCTCACAAAAGTCTTCTGTCTTATCTCGATATATTATTATTATTATTATTATTATTTGACATTTTAAAATTTAAGAGGGCATTAATGAATTTTTTAATTATATAATAATATATTAGAAAATTATGAAGTTTTAATATATATAAATCAGAAATGGTTAATAAAAAAAAAAACAGGAATTCATGTCGGATTTACTCATGAAGTCAAGATTAGTCTGGGTAATCTCAAGCTACCTATTCATTGATTGTATCTCTCTCTGCTGCTTTTAGGATATTCATTCTTAATAATATTAGTATATTAATTATTTAGAGGTGCGGTACAAAATTTAAAAATTGTATTTAATTATTTTATTTTTGGTATAATTATTATATATTTTTTATTATATTTATTTTAAAACTTGTTTATACAATAAATGAATAAAAACATAAAAATAAAATTTAAAGTAATAGTTATATACAGTTTTAAAATTAATTAATTCTATTTTAAAGTTTTAAAATAAAAATAATTTTAAAAAAATTAATTAAAAAAGTATTTTTTTTTATTGCAAACAGAGTATTATATTATCACTAAATCCAAAAGTAACATGATGACATGGGCATGGTCCATTACCACCCACCGCATCGTAAGCGCCACAATGCGCGCCTTTCAACGATTAAAACAATAAGATATCAAAATTATCCTCATTTTTAAAATTTATATTTATATTTGCATATGATGAAAACAGAACTTGTAATTTATCAATAATTAGTGATTTGTTTTAGTATTATACATGTATCTAAAAAATTCTTTCTTAGAAACACACTTAAAAATCTTTTTATATATATAATAGAAGGGAAAATTAGTTTGTTCATATTTTTTATTTTCAATGATGTTTAAGTTTTTTATTTGATCGAAAAATTTTGTTTGGTGATATTGCTAAACTTTAATTTCATTCAATTAGCTGTAGTTAGAAATTTCAAAATCGCTACATAGAATTCAAGTGTATTTAAGTTTTTAAATTTTTTATTCAATCAAGGTAAGGCAAACCTCTCAAACATTCTCTAAAATAAGCCACCCTTTTATCATTTTATCTAAATTTATTATTTTTCAAGAAATTAAGATTTGCTTATAAATTATAATCCAACTAACTCTTGTTGCTCAAGTGAATTTAGTTTTTAAATATACTTGTATGACTAGTTTAATTCTTTTAATGACCAATAAATATTCAAAAAAAAATTTATCATCTATAATATTTTATGATTTTATTTGCCGAAACAAATACTATTATACATTTTTTTTTGCTAATTATACTATTATACATTGAATAAATAAGAAAGCATATAAATATTTAAATTTTGCATTTTATAATTTATATTCTTGTTTATTAGAAAAAAAAACACTTGTCTTTTCATATGTTTAATTAATTTTTTTTAATAGGCACAAATAAACATACCTTTTATATTAATTCCTTAAGGAAGAAAATAAAAGTTAAACTCCCAAGATATATTGTGGACTTGTGGTAATCAACGTAAAAAAATGGTGATTAATTTGACTAATAAATCTATATATTTAAGAACAAGACTTCCAAAGTCCACAGTGAAATGCCCAAACTACTTATTTTTCATCGTTTATTAATAATAATAATAATAATAAATTAATTAATTAATTAATTAATTAATTAATAAATTAAGAAATTGCTCAGTGCCGCAGTCACTATCGTTACGTCTCTAACTTACACGCACTGTCCCCTATATGTATTATTCATTCAATTTCTTTTTACTAAAAGCAAAAAATAAATGAAAAAATAAAAAAAGAAATTCTCTCACTCTCTCTCCATTCTCTCCCTTACATTTTCATGGTGGGACGAACGGAAAACGCAGCGTCGCCGGAACGAAGATTGAAGAACGTAATCATCACATAGAGATTGGAACAGAATTAGAGTTTCGCGATTGTTCGAACTCGAAGAATGCCAATCTGTATGTACCAAATTCGGAACGCGCACGCCTTAGCGGATCCTGAGCTGCACCGTGCCGCCGATAAAGATGACTCTGAAGCTCTCCTTGAAGCAGTTGCAATGGCTGGGCTCGTTGGTTTTCTTCGCCAGCTTGGCGACCTTGCTCAGTCAGTTCGCATTCTCTTTCTCTCTCTACCTTTTCTCTCTTTGAAATCGCTTTTGTTGTTGCGTGATTCTGCAATTCAAGCAGTGGTGGTGGTGCTCGTTGTTTCCTTGATCGTGCTGAGTTGAAATGAGTGTTGAGTTTGATGAAAAGGAATGTGTTGTTTAATTCAACATTTGAATTTTTGTTCATTGTTGTTGGAGTTTGTTAGTGGTGTGAGCTAAGATTCTGCGAGGTTTTTCTTTTTTTTCTATTTTTTGTTTTCCTTTAGGCTGAATTGAGTTTTTTCTCTCTCGAAATATTATTATGATTACTGTTTTTTTTTTATCGTAGAATTTAATTGTTGAAACTAATTTCTTTTTAGTTTTATTTTCGTTTTGATTTTTAATTTATGGCAACCTTGATTCTTCATTAGCTTTTTGCTTCTTTTTATTTGTATGTAGCCATTTTGGGAAGATGAAAAGGGAAGAAAATGGGCGGTTGGTGCATAGAGTGGTTTGAATTATGGGATTCAGAAGATTTTGGGTGGCTTTGTATCAATATGCGTGTGTGATTGAACGATGCGTAGATCACAACTCTTGAATTAACGCAGTTTTGTTGACGTTGTTGATTTGAACGATCGAGTTATTTGGCTTAATATAAAATGACTGCTCACAAAGTATGCTTTTAATTTTTTAATCATTTACAGATATATTTATCTTTTTGAAGGAGAAAATGCGATTTAAGCAGACTATTTTGTAACTGACTAGCATTACAGATACTGTGATTTTTTGTTTTTATTTTGCTGGAGGGGGGAGGGGGGAGGGGGGACAGAGTGAGCATTATGGATTGAATGGTCAATCCTAGTATATTCTATCAGCAGCCTTGACCCTCCTTATTCAACAACCTGAACTAAGCCCAGGTGCCTCAATCTTGTGAATTTAATTCAAATGCTTCTTTCTGATAGGAAAACTTGTGTCCCAGTGGTTAATTACTAGAAAATTAAATCCATTTTGTAGAGTTCCCACCATCATCATTTAACCTTTTAAATTATAATTTTTACTGCCACCAATTGCCTTAAGTTCTCTACATTTAACTGTATCATTTTGGTTAGGTTTGCCGCTGAGATGTTCCATGATTTACATGAAGAAGTAATGTCTACAGCTGCAAGAAGCCACAGTCTTATCTCTCGTGTTCAGCAGCTCGAGGCTGAAGTTCCAGCACTTGAGAAAGTTTTTTTGTCGCAAACTCATCATTCATCATATTTTACAAATGGAGGTTAAATTAATCAACACAAAGTCCTTTTGCTTATTGTTTGTGTCTGTAACTTGTAACCTATAGTGGTCCCTTGACTGATTTTAACTTGCTTCACGCATTGCAGGGATTGAATGGCATCCTAATCTTCAGTCTGAACAGAATCTTGTTACTCGCGGAGACTTACCTCGATTTATAATGGATTCATATGAAGAATGCCGTGGTCCCCCAAGACTATTCCTTCTGGACAAGTATGGTGATGGCCTTATGGGTGACCTGATTCATAAAACATAAATAATTTCAGATCAAATACAAAATTATTATTATGTTATAGACATTTGAAACTTTTTTTTTTCTTTTTGGCTCTGAAAGGTTTGATGTGGCTGGGGATGGAGCATGTTTGAAGCGTTATACTGATCCATCATTCTTTAAGGTGGAGTCTACTTCTTCTAGAACAACAACAGTAGAAGTTCACAGGGAAAAGAGAAATCGTAAAGTCAAGGTAATTAAGTACCAATTCTACCACTCAAAGGCATGTTTTTTATGGAAAATTGTTTTAGTTGGCAAAGAAAACAAATATATGTGAAGCAAAATTGAATATTTGCAATTTTGAATATATGATATTTACTTTTTATATCCAGCCAAAGAAAGGAGCACAGCTGAGGAATGGTGAAACCCCACAAGTTGTGCCATCACATTCAAAGTGAGCTTCAATAATGTTATTTTGGTGCATTAATTATTCTTCTGCTTTTTATAATGTAAAAAACCAAAAATGGCTTTAAATGGTTTATTTGTGACATAATCCATTTCCATTATTGCAGACTTCATCAGTTGTTGCTTGAGGAGCGTATTGAGAATGCTTGTAGTGATCCTGCTCGTCTTCTGAAGTTGAAAAAGAAACAATTGAATGGATCTGCAGTTGAAGGAAAAACTGGGAGAAGTTACATGGCGAAAATTCTGGAAAATCCCTCACCTGATCTTAAAATGGCTTCTGAAACTTCAATTCCTCTGCCTGTGAAATTGACGTCAGATGATACTAGTGAAAGTGGGATTAAAATACTTGAAATCAGTAGCATTACTCCTTTGAAAAGGTCTTTGGAAGATGAAAACATTTGTTCATCACCAAATGAGCAGGAGATAGAACTGAATCCAAACTCAGGAAGGGATAGAGAGACAAATGGATATATTGTGAAGGTGCATGAACAAATCTCTGCTGGTGTGACAAATGAAATGTCTTCTAATCATCTCAAGGTGCCTGATGAAAGAGAGTTGGTTTTTGATGAACAAAAGAAAAGAGAATATAACTTAGATGGCTACCATTCTGATGATGTGACTAGTGATGTTGATGATTATATGGATGCGTTAGCTACCATGGATTCAGAATTAGAAACAGACAATGAGCGTAGACCTAAGAAAAGCTTTTTGAGTTTTCGAAAGATAACTCATTCAAATGGCAAAGGAGATCACCAACTGCAAGCTCAATTTTCAGATTCTCAATCATTTGGAGACTCCTCAACATCTGAAGAAATTAGTTCATTGGAACAAGATAGAAATGGAGATCTTAATGAAGTGCAAGCTCAATCTTCAGATTCTCAATCATCTGGAACCTCTTGTGCATCAGATGATCATAGTTCATTCAGAAGAGATAGAAGTGCAGGCCATACCCAACTGCAAGCTCAGTTTTCAGATTCTCAGTCTATTGGAAACTCCACATCGGAGATAGAAGACGTGCCATTCAACCAGCTTTCCCAAACTGCTGAGTTACAAAAGACTTATTGTGGTGAGTTTATCACATGTGATGATGCACATGTTTTGGGAGAAGTGATTTCTGATTCTAGACCAGTCTCTTCTGGTTTGTGTCTGATGGATTCAGGAGATTTATTGCTGTCTTCAGATCTTGGACCCACCTCACTGGTGTCCCAGCCTTCAGGTACTCAATCAGATGAAACATCATCTAGCCCTGTTAGACTTCATTTAAGATTAGAAGAAGATGATGATGATAGGAAGTGTCCTGTTGAAACTATAGCTGCTAGACCTTGTGTTCTCTCCCCAAGGAAAGATGATGTTTTCCCAGTGGTTTCTTTTGATAAAAATTCTTTGAACAACTCAGATTTTTGTGTTCCATATTTTCATCCCAATGCTCCATTAGAAGTTTCTAATGATTTAAACTTAGCTCATGAAGGTGAATATGGTAATCGTTCTGAGATCAAAGTGTTGCAGGCAGAATCTCATAATGAATACTGTTCTGGAATTTTGGTTAGTGGAGATATTGGTTCAAATGGGGTGGATCCTATTTGCCCATCTTGGGAAGTAGACATGAATTCAGGTACTAAGCGACTGCTTGGTGGCCACAATTTAAAATCTAGTGATGACATCTTAGCCACCCAATTTAACTCAGAAGATTTGTTTCCTGTTACAGAAACTACAATGAAGAGAAGCCTTATGAAGGAGCCATGCTCTGATTTTACCCACAGAAATCTACAGAATGAACCTGAGTTAGCAGAAGTTAAAGTTCTGTATCCTGATCAGCAGTCAAATTTTGAGGAGGTACCAAGGATATTGCCTGGTGATGAAATTAGTGAATCCCCGCGCAGTTTGGATCTAGTTGAAGATGATGGTCATATTAAACATCCATCTTCAGATATCACATCTTCAATGACTAGTTTCACAAAGTTGGAAGAATCTCTTTCTATTTTTGCAGATCTTCACAAGAAAGAGATAATAGTCAATAAGGCAGTTAATAGAGAATCTTTGACAGAATTAGCAGCAGAAAAGGCAGTAGATCAACCAGAAATTGTTTCTGCTGATGCACAGTCGAACCTGAACAGATCAGTTCCCTGTGATCCTTCTGATTCTGGAATACATAATAATATTCAAAATTCTCTTACGGAGAAAATCCAATATGGTTCTTCTATCAATGACGTGAAAATGGTGGCCATATGTTCAGAGCTAGACTCTCAGAGGTCAGAATCTGTATTTGTTTGCCAGAACAATCTGCTAAACATCAAAGATAGTTTGTCACCACCTTCCTATAATCAATTAGAGCCTGAAACCGATTTACAGCTGCTCTTAAAACCAGAAGTCAGTCAACAGGATGCAGGATTCAGAAATCAGGAAAATTATACCTTTGAGGAATTTCAACCTCAACAGAAGCAGATATCAAATCAGTGGGACCAAGAAAGAACCTACCAGCCTATGTCTGAGTTTGCCGCTGAAACCATTCCAGATAAACATTCATGTGATTCCTCAACAAAGTCATCTGGGCAGGATATTAACCCAACAAAATGTGTCATGGATCCATTTAAGCCTCTTCTTCCTGACCTCCTACACAAGGCAACTAAAGTCAATCTTGAGGAGATGCCACCAATGCCTCCTCTACCACCAATGCAGTGGAGAACGAGCAAAGGTCAACTTGCTTCCCTATTTACACACAGAGAAGATGTAGTAAGACAAGCCTCATTCCAACCAATGCAGCCAACTGAACCTGATGTTAAGTCTCAATTTGGTTTATCAACTTTTGAAAAATCGACCTTGTTGTCTCAGTATCCATTTTTGCCTGTCATGGCTGAGAAAAGTAATATGCACCAAAATTCTTATGGCTTTTCAGCAGGTGTTTCAGAGCAGCCTGTTGCTATTTCTATGCAATTTCCAGAAATGGTGAATGAACCAAATGGTCAAGACAAGTGCCTAGTTCTGGACAGAAGCCAAATCCAGAACCCTATCTTAACATCACAAGACGGGCCTCCACTTGGATATGCTGTTGCTTTGGAAGGCATACTGAATTCAAGTTCATGGCAATCAATAATACCACCTTCTGAATGTGCTGTTTCTGGGATTGATCCCATTTTTCAGCATGAAAAACCAACTCAATCTCCAAGTCAATTAGTGGAAAATCCTGGTTTAGAAAGTAAAATAGAGGGACCTGGAGAATTGCATTTGGTGCTACCTGCTGAATGTCCTGTTTCTGGAGACGATCCCATTTCTCCAAAAGAAAAACCAATTCTATCTCCTAGTCAATTAATGGAAGAGGCTAGTTTAGAAGTTACGACACTTAAGCAGTCTTCAATTAATCTGGAAAGGGAAAGAGGAGATCCTGCAGCCTCAACTGTATCACCTCCAAGTATACAAATTGTGCAGCCCAATCACAGCCTTCATTTTTCAGAGGGAGAAATGGTATTTTCATTGGACGCATCTGCTCAAACATCAGATTTTGATTCTGAAATGCCAAATGGAAGACCAAAGAATAAGGTTCCTCTTCCCCAGAATCCTGTAATTGATCCTGTTGCTGCTTTTGACAAAAGCAGGGTAATGAAATCTTTATTGTCCTTATAGAATGCACTCTTTATGTGGTCTTAATTCTTGCATGACACTTCCTTTTGAACCATTGCAGCTGAGGAAGGTCACTGAACGTGTTATGCCTCAGAGAGCACCAAAGGGAGATGAAAGAGACTCATTGTTAGAGCAGATAAGAACGAAGGTTAGAATTATATTTTATCTTGTTATGGCGTTCCTACCCTTTTGTTTCTTGTATTTAAAAATATAATTTCTTTTGTCAGTCCTTCAATTTGAGGCCTGCCATGGTTAAACAACCACCCCGCATTCAGGGTCCAAAAACGAACTTGAAGGTTGCGGCCATCCTGGAAAAAGCAAATTCAATTCGCCAGGTCTATCACTCTTTCTCTGTTTAGTTCATTGTAATAGGCTTGTGCTACTCACTCCTTCCCTCCCCCGTCTCTCTACCAATGTAACTAAACTAACGTTAATCATTGAATTAGGCATTGGCTGGAAGTGATGAAGATGATGATGGAGATAGTTGGAGTGACTCTTGAATTTACTATGCAAGAAAAATGCCGTTCTAGTGCTCGTGAAAGTTTTTATGTTGTGGTTTTCGCCCTGAATCAGGTGTACAAAGTCAATTATACTATGTAATGAATGGGAAATCTACGTGATAGAGTCATATAGAATATTCTTTATATGTGGTACTATGGGCAGCACTTGTTCCCTCTCGAGTCCTCCCAATTCACACTCAAATGCATAAACATTAGATCAAGCATGCAGCGTGGCATCATTGCAGAGCCTCTATCGGAGGTGAAACTCATTTCCGTCAGACTCAGGATCTGCGTGCAAGTGTTGGGTCTAACCAGACCAACAACCTATCGACAATTCTTTTTCTTCTCATATAAGAACTTGTATAGATATGTGTTGAGGTTGTCATGTTTTTTTTTATTTATCAATTTTGTAATTCTGTAATGTAGTGTTTTTCTGGTAATTGCCTCATATATCATGTAACTAGTTAATTTGTGGGATGAAAATCTTCTCCCTACTCTCCCCTTCTATTTTCCTCCAACGAAAATTTGACAACTCGTTAAATTTACCCACTACAGATTCTCACGTTTCATAGATGACTGCAGCCGTCGTTAGGTCACGTTCTTGTCTGAATCGTGTTTCAAAACTCACGCATGCATAGAAACACGTTCTTGATCGATTTCAAACCTCCTGCGCCCTCATTGATTATCTAGCACTTCCTGTTTCTTGAATCCATAAAGCTCACATCTTTATTGCTTCTCCTACGAATCCTGTTCTGGCATTGATTTTTCAGAGCAATCATCATCTATTTTGTTTCTTTGTGTTGCTGTTAACAATCTCATAAATATTGAAGGGTAGGGATCTCATGGATTTTCCCTTCCGTTCCCACTTCTTGAATTGTTAAAGCACGCTACTATCATTGATTTTGAAGTGATTTTTCTATACGCTTTATTGGTTTTTCAATGTGATCATAAATTGCTCTGCTTCGAGATGGTGGTTTCTTCATTGTTTTGAAAGTCTCGTCATTGTGTTCTTTGTCGTTTCAAATGCCTTGTTACATTTTTTTTCTTTCTCTTTTTGTGGCTGTTGTTATTTTTACCATGTGGTTTATTGTTCAGTTTTCTTCTTTTAATACATTGCCATGTTTTACATACCTGATTATGTTTTATTATTTTCACGGTTGCTTGTGTTTATTAATTCACATTAGCAATCAACAAGAGTTTTGAAAGGATTTTTGAGTTTGTGTAATCGAAATTCACGGTACAGTACTAGAACAATAATTCATCTCATGGTAGTCTTAGCTAAGAGAGTGTTTCAAAACAGCACCGCTGTGTAGTACTAAACCGATTTCATACTTGTGTCACGAATTAAAATAGATTATTAATAAATTAAGTAATATTTAAATTAATAACCATTATCTCAAAAGATCGTCATGCAGTCAGGTTACACTTATATCCATGTACTCTTTTTCTTCTTTTTCATCTTCAATCACTCAACTTTGCTTTTAATGATTTCTTTCAATTTCGCTTGTTATATCATTTTGGAGGGTTTACGAGTCTCACAACTTGTTTGATTTCAACATTGAAGGTGAAATTTCTATCCAAATTTCACACCTTTCTAAAATATGAAAAGAAAGGAGTTGGAAGAGGATGCTTCAAAACACTATAGATTTTACAGGAGTTAGGAAATAAAATTTGGTTTCAATGGGATATCTTAATGTCTGCTTCTCTCACAAAAGTTTTAAAAGTTTAACAGAAGACAGAGCAGAGATCAAAGCGCGAGCACAAATAATAGTTTTTAGAGTGGACCGCACATTATACAATTTTTATGAAAATTATTTCGTACTAGCCAACGTTTTCTATTTCGAAAAAGTAAAATATAAATAAGTGTTTTAATTATTCTCGTACTTGTGGTATTCTTTTCTTCTATCTTTTACTAAAATTATTTCGTACTAACCAGCATTTTCCATTTCAAAAAACTAAAATATAAAAAAATGTTTAATTATTCTCATATTTGTGATATTCTTTTATTCTATTTTTTTTATTTTTCAATTAAGTAATAATAATATGGTAATAAAAGAAGTTTCTTGCACATTAATTAATAATGCAATTTTGATGCTTTAGTTTTCATTAACTTTTCCTCTAAATTATAGGGATTTTATGTTCACATTCCTGAATTAATATTTCACTCTTATATTTCTTTTATAATTTTTAATAAATTGTAGGCAATAAGCAAACTATTTTAATGTATTCAATAGTATATCTTTGCCATTCATCCTTTGCAAATTCCTGAAATGTATGTATTAAAACGATGGACAAAACATGCAAAAAGTAAAAAGATATAACAACTGAGTACCCAAGCAAGAATGAAAATCCAATACAAACCCTTGTGTAGGTGTATAGGTTGTAGGCTTTGTAAAAATATCGGCAATCAAGTGTAATAATTTCTCTTAATTTTATTTCCTATTTTAGTAAAAAGCTTATTTCAGTAGTTATTGACCATTATCTATTTAGCCGATTACGAATTATGTATAAGGACTGATTATATTCTCTTTTATTATAACTGATGGTTACTATAATTATAATATTAACTTTAGATGTTGGCTTAATTCTAGCGTTGACACTTATATACAATTATATAAAATTGAGTATTAGCTAAACGTCATAGACACAAATAAAAAAAATTTCTTTTTTCACATTTTTTATTTTACTTGGACTCTCATCTCTTAATTTTTTGGATATTGTTTATGAGGCTCCATGATGTTATGTTTTTGAGTGCATAAATTCAAACACTTACTATTAACCTTAAAGAGTAAAATTGAATATCGAACGAATTGCACCAACTTTTAGAACATAAACTAATACTACAGCACAACAGTATTTTTCCATTTATTTTTTTCAACAAGCTCAATTAACAACTAAAATAATAACCTACAAAGCCTATTATATAGTTGTTAGTGGTTAGATACACATGTTCTGACATGATATAACACTTTTTTTAAGGCTGAGATTGTCATTATTGGTTGCCTACAGCTGAATGTTGATCAATAAAGTTTACACTAAAATATGATATAAAATCCAAAACAATGTAAACCTGCCTAAGGACAATTTTATGATCCAAATAGTTGATTAACAGTGATAGTAAAACGTGAGTTTTTCTCTGCAACAACAAATTAAGAACATGATTAATTTTAAAAAAGGTTAAGACACGAGAACTTTATGATCAAATAGGAAAGAAAATAAGTATATATTTATCACCCATAAAATATAGCATGCTGAGAATATCAAATGCAATGCCCTCCTTTTTATAGTTATAACTTCAAGCTTACAGGGTTAATCAATATCAAAGGGAATTAGAGAACAATTACTCAAATAATTACTTAAATATATGTGTGAGTACACTGACATCATAAGATTTAGAATCGATGAACACAAACAAACAACTCATTTCAAAAATGTAATAAAAGCATGTCATGAGATTTTGAATAGCATACCGTGCCACGGTACGTGATAAGATTTGTCCCTTGATTTCTCAATTGCTCAATATTATGTTATGTTACCCACTGTAAAGATATCAGATGATTAATATAAGAGTTTTTGTTAATTTTAACTCTTCAAGATTAAGAATAAATAGTTAATAATAATAAAATTTTATTAGAAAATAAAGTATTTATTGTATTTTTATAATTTTAATATAATAACTGTGTATTTTTTTATAAATTTTTTTATTTATAAATATTTAAACTCAATTTTAAAGACTGAAATTAATAAAACTTTTAATATAAATGTAAAAGTAGCTAAAATGGTTAAAATAAAACGAGTGTTATGTAGTAATAAATGCGATAAAATGCAAATGAGAGTATACTATCAGACGATGTTAATACACCGCATCTCGCTCTTGGCAAAGAGTTGATTTATTAATTAAACTGTTGAATGGTATTATATATGTTATATTCTTAAACGGATATATTAAATTTTATATAATTTAAATATTTATAAATATGTTATTTATCTATTAATATTTATTTATATTCTAATAATATATGATAAGTATAAAAATAATTATATAATAAAATGTTTACTAATTTATTTTTTACATAACATTTTATATATTTTAATTATGTGATAAAACTTTTAAATTAACGACTAAATTAATAAATTTTGTATTTTAAGTGTTGAAATCTCACGTTAATTATAATTGACCAAATAAAAATTTGTTGTAAGACAAATACTTTAATAATAAATATTTTTAAAGATTATTAGTTAAATATATTTTTAGTAAATATAATTTTAATAATATTTAATATTAAATATAAATAATTTTGTATAAAGCACTGAAAAATTAACTAGTAAATAAGTAAAAGAAATGCGTAAGTTAAAAGTAAAATAAATTAATTTAAGAAATAATTTGAGATTATTATAATGAGTAAATAATAGTTCGAGATATGTGATAAGAAAAGAACTTTTATTATTATTATTATTATTATTATAAAATAACAGGTAACAGCTAGCACGAACAGGTGGAAACAACATTGTTGGAGAAAAAGCAGCTCCCAACGCCGCCTCGTAGTTTTCTGATAGCGTTTCTCTTTCCTCTCTTTCTGTCTCTGCGAAGTGCAAACCACAAAAGCCCTTCTTAATTCTCCACTCAAATCCACACCATGATCTACAGATAGCATCACCAAAGGTACCAATTTTGCTCTCTCTTTCCATCTGAAACATTCCGTTTATTTTTCTTTTTGAAAAAAAAAAATTATGGGAAATTCACCCCTTTTCATGTGCCACCAGAAAACCCTTTTTTCTCAGGACACCAACGAAGGAATAAAGTTCAATTTTTTTGAAATTGGGGTATGGAGAGTAGCAGTGGGAGAGAGAGCAACAGTGGGCGTGTGCCACTTTCTGGGGTGGTTGCAGATTGTGTGAAGCGGTGGTTCAAAGACACTCTGAAAGAGGCTAAGGCTGGTGACATCAACATGCAGGTGCTGGTGGGACAGATGTATTTTAGTGGCTATGGTGTTCCCAGAGATGCCCAAAAGGTGTGTTTTTGTTTACTGGGTGTCTTTGATTCAGTCTTCTTCAATGAACTTTCATTGGATTAGGATTTGTTTGTGAATTGTGGGGTGTTCATTTTGGGGTTCTCTAGTTCTTTAAGAAGTCAAAGTTGATTGAAAATGGAAAGAAGAATTAGTTTTTTTTTTTTTTTTTAAATGCAGTTCTAGAAACCATTTACATCCATTTCTGCCTATAACTTCCATCCGTGTACAACACATTAAAACAACGAATTTCAAAACACAAATGATTGAGTTTTGACATTATTCTTATAAAAAGAAAACCTCACCTTGTCAATACAAGCTAAAACCTTTTTCAAGCCATTACATATGCACGAAAGAATTTTTTATATTGCTATTCTACACATATAGACAGGAATAAAAGCATTCAATTAAATTTCACACAGATGTGTGTATTTTAGTATACCTACGTAACTTAAATAAGACTGGTAGTTGAATATAAAGAACAATGTGTGGAATGTAGATGTACTTGTTTTTCTTTTTCTACTCTTTCCAAGGCTGATGTTATCAGTTTGGGAATGAAGGGAAGAATTTGGCTGACTAAAGCATCGAGGATTAGGTCTTCAGTTTGGAAAGTTGGTGACAAACGTCCAGGTAAACCCTCCTCTTTTTGCTAGCAGGATATCGGGTTTGTTTTCCTTTGTAGTTTAGAGTGACTTTTTCTGCTTTGCATTTTGTTAGGTTATAATGCCAGTGATTCTGATTCTGACGAGTTGAAGGAAGACTCTTAAGCAAACTAAAGTTAATTTGATACCCAAAATTCTGACAGGTGAGTTTATCCTATATCTGAACACTTTTGTGTTGTTATTGGTACCATACTCTTTTTGTGCTACATTTGTTATCTAATACAAAAACTTGAGGCTTGAGCTGAGATGTTTGGATTTTTTCTACATACTTAGAGTAGAGTGTTGTGTTTTGCATCAGGTAACTTGAATATATTTCTGGCTTGGGACTGTTATGCCCTATTTTCTTGTTAGTTGTACACTTGTATTTGTGTTATACTTTGAGAATGATGGGTTTAACGTATCAATTCAATGATGATTCCAGTTCCAGTTCCCGTTCCCCATATCTGCATTGTTATGCTTGTAAAATGAGATATAATTAATCACATTAAAATAAAAAAGAATGAAACATCATAAACACTGTCAATATGCTAAACTAATACTAATTGCTATGTATCTAATTTGATTGTTGTGAACATTCTTTTGGGAAATAGCTTTCAATATATGGTTTAAGTGGTTGAGTTTGGTTATAACACTATTTTTTAACCTTGAAGTTTGATAGTGTTTCTGAGGATGTCTGCTGAAAGCTTTTAAGTTAGGTCATTAGCTATGTCTGGGATGGGGAGCTTGTGGATTTTGGGTTAACACACAAAGTGAGTAGACAGCAATGGAGAACAACATTGCCTCGTTGGCCTTCAATGTTGATAAAATTTAAGCCATGCCAGTTTCACCATGTTTAAATAGACCAATGCATGGTATGGCAAAGTCTGTGCGGTTTGAAACAGCAAAACAACAGTAGATAAAATCAATTCTTCTATTTTGTAAGTCCACATATTACAACAAAATATGTAAAGAATCAATGGTGATTCTACCATTTGGAAATGCAGTATACTGATATGAAAGTAAATAGTATAGTACAATGGAAACAGATGTGGTCCAACACATAGGATAACAGCCCTAAGCCTTTGTTCCATAATCCATCATTTTCAACAATAATTATTTCCTGAAGTGAGACAATGCATTTGTTGGAAGGGTTAACTGCCATGTCTTTGCATTATAGTGCTTCACATTCATAACTAACCATTATTGATTGACAAATTAAACTGCCCTTTCTTATGGATTGATAGTGTTCCTTTGTTTTGTAGGTGTGTCCAGCGTCCTGCTTCTTCATAACCATCATGTTATTGTAACTTCCATTTTTCATTTGCTTTCTTATATGTGTATGATTTGCTACGCCAATTTTTTAAACAAGGAAAAAGAAAAGGAAATCTTATTACTTGTGCAAATTGTTACTTGATAATTGTGGATCCTTGCCAAAATTCAACTTCCCAAGTTGTAAGACCTAGGGAGGCGTGCCAAGGAGTAGGGTTTGATCTATGCAATCTTAAAACTACCACCCAATTTATGTTTTTAACCTCATTAACAACCAAACTACTGGGTAGATTAAACTAATTCTATAGCGTCATGTTTTGTTAATCACTGAAGTGCTCCGTTTTTTAAGTCAAAACTAGCTTAACTAAAATCCGTTTCTAATCTAGGTTTAACCAAATTAATTTTTATGAACCAAAACTTTCCTCAGTTCTCTTCCATTGGTTGTTTTTCTTTCCTTTTCTTTTTTTTCCTCTACATGATTCGGCTAACGTATATCAAACTACTTTATCTTGTAGAACTACATCTTCACGGTTCAACTCAACCAACATTTTTGCTTCGGTGCAAGGCCCAAATTAGCTTGGACAGCATTGGGCAAAATGTTATTAAATGCTGAATTAGCAGAAAATGAAAGTAGAAACAAGCATCAACACTAAGAAATGACTCAAATTGTGGCTTCATCATTCACTGTTTGTGCATTACGGACAAATCAGACAATACAAGTGATCACTAACAAGACCGTATAGCGTGTGTTTCAAGTTTTTCTAAAATATTTTCAAGAATAGGATGCCTATACCCAGGAATAATACTATCATTAAAAGAAGGAAAACGTTTTATATACACCTGGCGTGGGATTGAAAAGGGGCTGAAGTAAAAAAAATGTAATTGATAATATGATGTAACTAGAACAGAAATATAGTGAGAATAAAAAAATTGTTAACTTTTAACTCTTAGGTTGTTTGGATGAAGTAATTAGAAATTTTAGAGAATTTAAAATTTTAAGAAATTTAAATTGCATCATTTAAATTTTTATTATTTTAAAAATATTGTTTGGATAGAGTAATTAGATTTCTTTCACTTCAAATATTTTTATTCGGATAGAGTAATCAAATGACTTACATTCTTTAAAAAAATTATCACTATATTTATGTGAAATTTAAATCATTAAACTAATCACAACTGAATAAAAATATGAATGAATTACACAAATAAATGAAAGAAGCAATTTCAAATTCTCACTCTTATGTTAGGATTCATAATTCTTTGATTTTAGTCTGTTAAAATTTCCCACTAAAATTCCTAGCATTTTAAATTCTTTAAAATTCAATATCCAAACAAATTTTAACTCACAAAATTGTAAATTCTCTAAAAAATTAAGCTACTAACTTGAAATATCTCATCCAAACATACTGTCAGGGTTGATTTTAAGCTCACAAAAGTGACGAGTTTTTCATGAGAAAAAAATATTTATTACTTCAATAATATAAAGTGTAACAAATGTTATCTTTTTCTAACAAAATATTATTTTTAAATGTTTAAAATCAGCCTTAAAATTTGAAGTTAACAAATAAAGAAAAACAGGGTAAATAAAAAGATGAAAATGTTACGCAGGTATATCAATATTTGTTAGAAGAATAATGATTACGCATTTAATTGATGAAAATCATAAAAGAATGATTTTGAAAATGAATTTGATTGCTAGCGGCCAATGGTAGCCTTATCTTGGTGATCAGGAATGTGGCAGTGGTGGCCAAAGTCAACAGCCACGATTACCAATAGGTTGCAATGGAGGATGATCAAATTTCAATAAACAGATCCTATGGATGGTGGCTTGTAGAAATGAGTGGTGATTGCCCACAATCACATGTTGATCCTTGCTTGATGGTTTGATGATGAATGTGGGAAGGGTAGGTATTTTTGAACATTTCACAGGGCAAGAAATATTCTTTCCAAGGAATATAGCTAACCCACCTCACCTAATAGGAATGAAGAGTCTAAGAGAACGTTTTCAAAAGCTTATGAAGAACACATGAAAATAGTTTATAACTTTCTTCAATAAAATTCGTTATAACTTGTATCATAAGCTCTTTTCAACTAATTCAGAAAAGTTTTATTGCCATACTTATGACATGCAGCCTTCAAATAAAAAGTGTATTGAACAAGTACTTAACTAAATTGATTCCCAAATACATCTTAAATATTGAGCAAAAGCTATTACCAATAATCATTTTATGAAGAGTTGAGACTAACAGGCATGAAATACAATCACTCGGTTGTGGCCAAGTGTTTGTGTTTACTTTAAGATATTGAAACAACAGATAATCATCTGGGAACCCAAAGGAAGATAAAAGATTCCATAATTTGACTTTTTGATGAGAATAGGCATCAAATTAGATTCCATGACTGAACATGCTAATCCACAAGAAGGTACTCAACTGATATAATCCGCAGTATATTTATCCAAAGGAATTTTAGACAAACATTAGAAGCCTTGAAGGGGCACTACCATCTGTGCTGAATAATTATCATGCAAAAATTGTAACAGTTGCTTGATAAACAACATTGAACAACTTGGCGCGGGTGCATGCACGCATGTGCAAGGGACAGAGGGAGAGAGAGCCAAACAATTACAAAACTGCTCATGGAAATACACATTTGAAACATGTGTCATGTGATAGCGAAATTACAACCTTCTGTTCATAGTTTTTAACAATGGCTCTGGATTCTCATGATCTCTAGAAAAAAAAAAATAAACAAAGAACTGAAGTTTTCATTCCACATAATTGCTATAGAAAAATTGGTCGCGTACTGTTCTCTGGATAATTATTTTTGAAACAAAAAAATTTCATAGTAAAATGACTAGTACCTATAAAATTTAATAGGGCACATTCTGCTGAACCAGCTGAATCATAGATTTACGTTCTCCAAGTACCATTTGTAGGTATCAAGCAGCCCATCCTTCAGTGAGATTTTTGGTGTCCAACCCAAGCAGGCAAGTTTGGAGCTATCCATAAGCTTTCTTGGAGTCCCATCAGGCTTAGTAGTATCCCAAACAAGATCACCCTCAAATCCCACCACTTCCTTCATCAACTCAGCCAATTCCTTAATAGTAACTTCCTTTCCACTCCCTACATTCAAATGCTCAAGTCCACTGTACTTTTCCATCATGAAGACAACCGCATCTGCCAAATCATCAACATGCAAAAACTCCCTCAATGGACTCCCTGTGCCCCACACCACCACCTCCTTGGCACCTTTGATCTTTGCCTCATGAAACCTTCTCATCAAAGCAGGTAAAACGTGTGAATTCTCAGGATGAAAATTGTCATATGGTCCATACAAGTTAGTGGGCATTCCTGAAATTGCATCCCACTTGTACTGAATTCTATAAGCCTGGCACATTTTGATCCCAGCAATCTTGGCAATAGCATACCATTCATTTGTGGGCTCTAATGGTCCTGTGAGTAAAGCATTTTCTGGAATCGGTTGGGGTGCAAATTTGGGGTAAATGCAAGAGGAACCCAAAAACAATAGCTTCTTAGCACCATGGCGATAAGCAGAATCGATGACATTGGTCTGGATTTGGAGGTTGATGGCAATGAAATCAGCAGGATAGGTGTTGTTCGCATGAATGCCACCAACTTTGGCTGCAGCTACAATGACATATTCTGGTTTCTCAGAGGCGAAGAAGGCTTCAACATCAGATTGGCGAGTGAGATCAAGCTCAGCATGAGAGCGTAAGATTAGGTTAGTGAACCCAAGTTGAGTCAGCTTGCGAACAATAGCCGAGCCAACAAGACCCCGGTGACCGGCAACAAAAACCTTAGCAGATTTATCAGCTTGAAATGAACTTGGTGACAATGCTGCTGAAAATACACCAAAAACAAACAAAAAATACCGATATTTAAAATCTAATAATGAAAAAAAAGAAGAAGCACTGTTTAGCTAGAATGTTTTCTGCCAGAACATATCTCATCCAAGAATCACCCTTCATTTGGTGAAATTCTGCTTATATTCAAAAAAGATTTTTAGGGCGTGCAGCATGACTCAACTAAGAATTAATACACCCAATTCAAGTTGTAATTCATTTCAGAGAATTTCAAAATAATTGTTTTGGCAATCAAAGAACACATGACAAATGAAAAGAAGAAAAACCGTTGTTGTCTTGGCTTCCCATGCTTGTGTGTAGAGCAAGATTTGTTAATTGTTTTACCCAACAGTTAAGCTATACCACCTTTCAAGTTCAAATCAAACCTGAAACAAATCAACAACATAAACAATAGAATAAACAACGTATGACAAAGAATAAAGCATAACAAAATACAGATACATAACAGCACCACCCCTTTAACTCAATGAACGACAACTTAAAATTACGGCATTCATATCTGAAGAAAATAAAAACCCACTTCCAAAACGACGAAACGACACGAGGGGTGCACGAAAAATCGAGACTTTATTTCGAATTTGAAGCTAGGGAAATGATCCAAAAGATCTTTATAAGAGGGTCAAACGAATGAATGAGTTTGAAGAAAAAGAAGGGTTGGGCGATACCTTAGAATCCGATCCACGCTTGAATTGAAGTGCGGTGAATCGGACTCCGGCGACGGTGAGCTCAGATCTGAGGGATCCCGGCGAGATCAAATCACAATCTCCTTTTTTTTTTTTTTTTTTTGTTTCACTCTTTTCTCTCACTCTATGCTCTTCTCCACGTACACATTATCTTTTGCAATACTGTGTCTGTTAAGTGGTGCTTCTCAAGTCTTTTTATTAATTAAAATTAAAACTTTATTTTAATAAGATATTTATATTTCATATTATTATAAATTATTTAAGTAAAACTTTAAATTTAATTAATAAATAAGACTAAAAACAATTAAATAATTGCATTCAATTTTTTTTCTAAGTTTTAATCAACTATTGTAAAATAAAACCATTTTTTTAATTATTTTATGTTGTAATATTTTAATTAATATAATTAAAGACTCGTTAGCATATCAAATTAAATTTAGCATGTGAATTTCTCATCTTTATGAAAATCAACTTACAAAGTGTAATAAATAGATTAAAATCAATAATAAATGACATGATTAAGAACTAATTTTAATATATATATATATATATATATAATCAAATTAACAGACTTACTATCTTTTAACAAACAAAATGAGGATTCATTTAATTTATTTTACTTTAAGAAAACTTAATTTTTCAGTCGTTGTTTCTGTTTCAACTTCTAAAAAGACAAGTCTATAGTTGATTTAGTAAAAAAATTATAATTTGAATCGAATAAGTTAAATGTTTAATATACTGTCGGTCGGAATGCTGTAATTTTAGATAAAAATAATACATCACTTATATTTCGCACGTCAAATGCCAAAATTTAAATGGAGATTTGTAACTATTTTGGTAACAAAAGTAAATTTATATTTAAGTGCATTATAGTAGGCATCTAACTAAAAATTCTCAAATCATCTAAAAATAATGCTATTTTTACATATATTTCTTAAAATAATTTTATATCATGAAAATAAATAAGGTGAGAAGAAAGAAACTTGTGAAATAAAATAGATGGTTTACTAAAAAAAATTGAAAAAAAAATTATGAGAATAGATTATATATTCATCACCTAAATATCACGTAAGTGATAATGTAATTTCCGTTGATGCTAGGATGTCATTGTTAAAGTAAAAAATTTAAACATACCACTTCTATTCTTATTCATTTATCTAGAAAAAAAATATTATTATTTATTTTTTCTAATTTAAGACAACATTAATTATTATTTTTCAATAATGTCCTTTGGTTTATATGTTTGAACAGTTTAAGAGTAAAAGAAAAACTCATTAATAAAAAGTAAAATAATAAATTTAACAATTAACTATAATAAAATAATTAAATTTTTTAATCTTTATAACTTTATTTCTATTTCTGATAAGTAAATTAAAAAATGTTATCTTCTTCAATAGATAAATTAAAAATAAAAATTGCTCTTAATAATTTTTAAAAATTAATAAAAAAATTTAAATATAAAAAATTATCACTGACAATTTTAAATTTTTATAAAAATCGTGACTAGCATTTTTTAAAAATTTTATATTTTTGTAATTTTTCTTAAAACACCGTATTTTACGAATTTTATCTTTTTTTAATGATACTTTGTAAAAGATACATCGTAATATTACTACTTTTTAATTTTTTATTAGAATTATAATAAATAAAAAATCTATTTTTAGATATAATAATTATTTTTTATTTTTTTATTATTTTAAAATTTATGTTAATAAGACACTCACTTATTATTTTATATAAGTAAATATTTATATTTATTTAATATATACACTAACTTATACATTTAATATTATAAATACTTTTTATAATAGAACTTGAATTTATGACATATAAATATTATTTGTTATTTTTTAAATAGTTATTTTTTAATTAAATTTTAAACTGGATGTAATATTAATTAAAACTTGATTGTTTGGTAACTTTGGTGCTATTAGCTTATACATGGATGATTGCATAAAAAATAATAATAAAATTTATAGAATGTTCAAACCTAATAGACATGTGATTTATTGGAATTGTATAGTTTGGTAACGATTTAATTTGTAAAAAAAAAAAAAACTAATAATAATAATAATATATTTTTGCTTGGAGAGTTTTTCACCAAAGAATTTTAACAAATTAAGGAGAGATTAAAGAAGTTTGAAGTGAGTATAGACAATAATTGCATTTTTTGGTTGCAGGCTCATGAGAATCCAAGATATACTCAAAAGAATGTTATTGAATTTTGCAAAAAGATTAATTATTAGGTAAATACATACCAAAAATTGTCATACATTAAAATTATTTTTATTAATATAAAATTTCTTTAATAAAAATTAAAGTTTATTATAAATATTGGTTTCTATTTATAATATAATGCATTATATTTTATTAATATTTATATTAATAAAATTATTAAATAGTATGATGCATCATATTAAGAGTTTGATTTTTATTAAATAAATCTTATAATTGTAATATGACTCGGTGTTAACAAGTTCTTGAAATGGTATGAGATACTTGTTAAATAATTAACATTTTAAATATAAGATGAAAACCATTTTTAAATACATGAAATAATTTATTTTTGATTTAATATTTCTTATTTTATTCTTTAACAAGGTTCCGGAATAAACCAAAATTTCACTGTATATTTAATTCTGAAAAGTACATTCACACACAAGAAAATGTTAAATAATATCACAGTATTTTCATGAAACGATTATTGAAAAGAAAAATCTACTATTACTGTTATATTTCATATTATTTTATGTTTTAAATCTTAGATTTTTATTTTTTCTTGGTTTCCTAGAAAAATTTTCCTAAAATAATAATTACACTAGAGGTAAGATTAGATATTGAATATGAGCATCTTTCACTTTTTTCTGTTTTCAATATTAATCTTTTTTAAAAAATAATCTGTCACCGTAAACAACATTTCATTTACACATAAGAAATTAATAATGGTTTATTTAAATCGGGTTAATTATATATAAATATTTTTAGTCAAAAACTGGCTTAAAAGATATGTTGTAATTACATATAAGAATGGAAATATTATTACATTAGATTTTATCTTGAAAATATTGATTTACTATATGAAACATGTTATATATAGAAAAAAAATATAAATAAATAAACTATGTCTATAATATAAATAGATTTATAGATAAATATTCAATTTTTTATATTTTTTAGAGGAATTTGTCTGTAAATTCGTCTGTATTATAGACAAATTTTATTTATTTATACAGATACATTGTTTCATCTGTAAATAGAAATAGAGTTATAAGATTGAAAATTGTATAACTAAGGGATTGGCATAGAGGTCCTTCTCCGAACCTGATTATTGTGTTCTGTAGAATTATTTGTTCTTGCAAAGATTGTAGAATATGCATGTTGTGGAGGTACAAGGGGATATACTTTAGAACGATTTAAAATTGTGATGTGTATTTTTTTTTTTTTGCATTAATTAATAGTTTGTTATATAATATATAGATTATGTGTGAAGAAAGTTTAGCTTTTTGTATTAAATGTAAACAAATGTAAGAAAATATTCATATATTATGAGAGATTCTACTAAAATTTATATTAAAAATTTATGTAATGTAAAATAAAAGGTTGATACAATATTGTGTATTTGGTCTCTAAACATATATTATATTTGATTTAGATATGACAAATAAAAGTAAAAAAGGTGTTACTCAGCGTCCTGATCGTGACAACACTCCTTCATCTATTGCTCTTACTTTCACCTCTACACCAGTTACAGTGCAGTCCTCCTAGGCTAGGGGCAAGAGCAGTTTATCATGGTGCCCACAACCCTAGATATGTTGCTTCTCTCTTTCTAGTACAATGAGTTTTTCAGTCTACACCACTAACTACACATGACACACAATCTCCTTGTACAAATGGCACAGGTAAGGGATCCACTACTGTCCTAGCTGTAAGTGAGCAATAATCATCACAGACCTAGGCATCATCAAGATCGCTTCCAAGTTTCAGATGGGATGGGTCCATTTAGTAAGTTAAATTCAAAATATGGCTAATAACTTTATTTGATGTGAATGTTATAATAATCGTATTCTTTTATTGTGTGTTAAGTTAGATACCACCGTAGAAAGGTCTCCACTAGGTGACAAATATCATTAAGAAAATGTTTGATGCACCTGACACAAGTTTTGCAAAAGTGTCTAAGGATACAAAGATGAAATAGTTCAAAGATTGGAAGGTAATAATAGTTAATTAATTTCAGTTAAGTGTAATTAAATATTATTTCTTATACCTCTTCTAATGAAATTGTATTTATGCAGAGCAACTTCTCTATTCTTCCCAAGACGAAAAGATGATTTTCAAGACCTGGAAGAGTCGCACTTCAAAGTGACTAAGACAGATGTACCATGAGGCTTGTCAGCAGCCATCATCTGTTGATTAGATAGCACCCAACTTCCTTCATGCCTTGTAGGAGTATTGATGTATGAATGAGTTTGAAAATCTCTCCGTAAATAATAGACAAACAAGACATCCAATAAAGGGGGATCGCTGCATATTGATGACTCTATGACTTTGGTTGACACTAAAGCGAACTTGGTATGTGATTTTCAATTTTCTTTTAAAATTTATTTTATTCAATCTATCATTGATATTTGAGATGGTGATTTAATAGAAATTGCAGGAGAAGTCGTTAAAGAAACCACTTACGCATGGAGAGGTGTTCAAAGATATACATACTCGCAAAGGAGACAAAACATTGTGGGTTGATACAGGATCGCAGGCCACATATGTGAGTCATCTTTATTGACACTATATGTTATTATTAATAATTTATTAAATAGTTCTCGAGACTAATACATAATTATCTGCACTGAACTGCAAGATGGCTTTGTTCAAAGGCTTGAGGAGACATCTTCTTAAGATTCAGAATCAGTTGATGAGGATACTATATAATTAAAGACGGTGGGTGGCCTTTATAAAGGCAGCATTTATGGCATGGGGAGCCGCTTTGTAGACTCTATGTCCCCTGCATCTGTCACCGGAGATACTCCTTCTCTTGCACCTAAGAAAGTGGAGGATGTGGTCGCACTCAGGTCCATGCCCTCAATGAAGAACAGCAGAAATAGAATGAGGAGATGTGGAAGACTAAGGAAAGTGCATGGAAGAGAAAATTGGTGAAGAAAATGGAAAAAAAAGATAGAAAAGAAGGTATCATCGAGGATGCAGAGGAAGGTGTAGCAGCAATAGCATATGTAGAAACAACAAATGCATGCATACTTTGAGCTAACGAGAGCAAGCAGCTCCACATCTCTTCTTCTTCTTTCACTAGTTCCAGCACCACCAGTCTTCAGTTTTATGCATCATTCCTTTTCTGATTCATCCTTTACTGATGTCGATGCTCTTTTTGATAATGATCACACCGATTATTCGTGATATATACTGTTATTTTATTTTTGACATTATTTATTTGGATGTTTAGTTTTTCAATTGTAATGACATTTTAATTTTATATTTTATAAATATTTTTTTATTTTAAATATATAATTTTATAATTTTTATTATGTTTATAAATTTTGATAATTAAAAATAACGAAGAATAATTATGTTCGTAAAAAAAGGTGAAAAATTTTAAAATTTTACAGATATTTTCATTTGTAATTTACAGATAAATTTTTTTTGTTTATAATTATAAATTGATTTTCCTGTTTGTAAATTGCAGATTGAATAAAAAATTTATATATAATTATTTATCGACATAGATATTATAAATGGGCTAAAATTATATTTAAATTCATTCGTAATTCTAAAATTCATCTTTAAATCTATGTTGGTTTTGTAGCATTGATTTTGTCTCAAAAATAATTTCATTAGGCATCATTTTATTCTAACCCATTACAGTAGTACGCTTCTGATTTTGAGGCAATAGGGTTTTTCCAAGCGTGGTCTTGACATGACGAAAACTCACATTAGCTTGTAGTTAGGAAACATGTTAGTGAAGAATCTGTATGATGTTTGTGCTATTAATCCATAGTCCAAACCCATTTAATTTCGTTGTCTTTCTGTCCCGTCCGTACAAAAGAGAGAAAGGAAAAGTAAAAAGATACACAAGATGTTTGGTGGATTGAAGCTTGGTAACGTTATTATTACTCTAAAATGTCTATCATTAATCGATTAAATTAATAATAATAACATTTTAATAATAAAAAAAAACATTTTAAGTCACGAAAGAGTCTTTTAAAACTACACTACATCAGAAAAAAGAGGATAACTTCTTGGAAGTTATTTGTTGTCGTCTAGAAGATTGTTGGTGTTGGGGGTAATGCAACGTTTTTTAAGAAACTTCGTCACTAATATTTTCCCCCTCCAAGTTGATAAGCGTTCAGACACGTCAAAAATGGATGATGCTCCTAACATTCTTACCAATTTCGTTGACATTTATCTATTTGTGGGTTAACTTTCCATTTAAATATATATGTTTATAGTAAATTCATTTTGAAGAGATAATATATTTTTCAAAAAAACTAATTATTTCTGTAAAATTATTATTTAAATAAGTTAAACTAAATATATGCATGACCCTGCTGCAAATATGTTAAATATTTAAAATAATTTATTATATGTTAAAAATTTACGATAAACTTAATTTTAAAAACTAAAACTATTAAATATTATTTAAGGCTATATATGCTGGGGATAAAACCATTACTTTTAATTTAAATATTTAAAATTTTAATTAAACTGAAAATGCTTGTAAAATATATGTGATATTTTATTTTTTGGTGAAAAACATTTGATGTTTATTAATGTAATAACAAATGTATCTTATTGTAACTGCATTGTTCAACAATCAAGATTTCTAACTAAGATAGAACGATTTTCTGCCAAATGAACTATCAATTTGATGATTATGTATGTTCTTCTCAATAATTATGATATGTGTTCATCATTAATCACACAGATATTGTAATGTTCACTTAAACAGCTAAACATCACACTTTATTCCTACACCAAACAGTTTAAAGTGGGACTCTTGAACATAAAGTATATGTAGTTCCTGTTAAAAATATATATAAAATATGAATGAGTTGAAAGTGGATTTTGTTTTGTTCCAATGGAAAGAGTTTTTTTTTTAATATTAAAAAAACATTTTATTATTCCATCCTCTTTTTTACTCCACTACTTCTTTTTCACTTTTCCAAATTGTTCTGATTCTGTTCTTATACTTCTCTTATTTTCTACGAATGGTGCTTTTTTCAAGCTTTTTTGGATTCAGAAAATTATAGGGTAAGATTGGCAAAACATTTTCTTAGAAAAAATGAAATGAACAAAACCCAGGTCCCACCGGGAGTCGAACCCAGGTCGCTGGATTCAAAGTCCAGAGTGCTAACCACTACACCATGGAACCAAGTTGTTGTTTAAAGCCTTTAAATTAATTAGGTAATTTTAAATTAGAAAAAAATGTTCATTTTAAATTAAACTGCTAATAATATTTTATTAAAAAAAAAAAAAAAAACTACCAACAATTTAGTGATAATTAATAAGATATGTACTCACCCATACACTTTCATACTCCATAGAAAACTGTGTTTCCGAAAAATGAAAAGAAAATACAACCTTACATATTATTACAAATTAAGCACAAGGGGTTCATAAGATAGTTATTTAAGGGCAAAAACTTAATATCTTATAATTTTGAGTACATTTTATATTTATTTTATGTACCTTTCACTCATTCGGCTGCAGTAATAAATATACCTAAATATCTCAATTGGCATATTCTCAAAAACTTTGTCTATTATCTTTTTCATTAACTCATCCCAACAACAAAACTTTGCACCTAAAAAAATCTAAAAGAAACGTCTCAAGTTATTTAACCAATTCCGAAACGAAAAATATCCAACAGCCCCTCGCAGAAAACGGTCCAATAAACAACCATAAATATTTGATGTTAGAAATTCAAAGTGTAATAATTATTATATCATTTTAATAATTTTCATTATTTATAAAATAAGTATTAAATAAAAAATATATACATTCATTATTTTAAAAATATAAAAAATTTAATAACTATTTATTTAGTAATTAAAAACATTTATAAAAATAAAAAATATATAATTAAGACAAATTTTTAAGTACTATTAATATCATTTATTGATTAAAATTTTATCTCAAGAATATACAATAACATTAAATATAGTTTTTTACTAAAATAAAATTTAAATTAAATTAATAAAAAAATAACAACATCTAAATAACTAACAGATAAATTTTATTGTTGCTGCGTAGCATTGGATTTCAAATAATTGTGCTGGTGCCACATAATCAGACAGGGAACACAATCCAATAACATATCCTATGTTTGCAAGCCGCCTCTCTCTCTCTCTCTCTCTCTCTCTATAATGTTGCAATAATAAGGGTGGTAGATGGTAGGCTATGATGCTGCCCAGTCAAACCCACAACTCTTGACCCAATTTAGTTTTCCACGGTCAAACATATCTTCACCTTCTCAGAAGCAGCTTCTAAGACTTTTGCTGGTGATTGCAAGCCTTTACCATATAATCATGCAGCAATTCCCTCCTTCTCCCTCTCTCTTATATATCACTCTTGAGTCTTGTGTCTCTCTCCTTATATCACCATGGCTTCATCACTCACCAATATAAATTCAAACTCAAGCTTTTCTTCATTGCCACCACAATTTATGATGACATCTTTCACTGATCTTCTCTCCAACAATAACAACAATAATACTAACATGACCATGGATGATCATAATAACTGGGGAACTTCTCAATTTAATCATGAAGTTGGACTTGAACTTGATGTTCCCAAATTCAAGTCTGTTCAACCGCCCTCACTACCTGTTTCTCCCTCACCAATTTCCCCTTCTTCTTATTTAGCCTTTTCATCTGGTTTCAGCCCAAGTGAATTCTTGAACTCACCTTTGTTTCTTCCTTCTCCAAGTGTAAGTTACATAATACAAACACTATCATCATGCATGTTTTGCAAATTGCCAAGTTTGGTTTCATGTAAAGGCCATAACTAATTGAGGAGTTTTCTTTGTTGTGATGTATGGCTTTAGATTCTTGCATCTCCTACTACTGAGGCTTTTGCTGGCCAGACCTTTAACTGGAGGAACAGTTCAGGTGAAGAACAACAACCTGACAAGGAGGATGAGAAAAATTTCACTGATTTCTCTTTCCAAACCCAAATTCAATCTTCCTCAAGCATGTTTCAAGTGGTAAGCACTATTGTTTTTTTGTGACCGTTTGAACTAAACAAGTATCCTTTTTTGTGTCTTCTAGGATGCTTATTTGACCGTTAAGGACACTGTTAGGGCGGTGGTTGTTCCCTTTGCTGTTATTGACATATTTGGTCATGTTTCTATTATTAGCCTCTGCTTTTGTTGTATGGCTTGTGAAGTCAATTTATTGTGTACTTGTTTTTAGTGGCCCTTTGAATTGTCTTCTTCTTCTATGTTCTTCTCTTTTCATTTTATTTTTGTTGGTATAAGCACGGTTTGAATAGTTAAAACAAAGGTTCATAAATTGACTGGTATACTCTATGTTGAAAAAAGTCTAACCTATGAAGTATGTCAAAGTGTGTTTCTATGTTTTCACAAACAATAAACTTCATTAAAATGATATAATCAAGCTGCATAATCTCAGTAAACAAGGTTTGATTTATTGATGACTTAAAATTTTTTATTCATGTTATTTATTTTGATTTGTATTCTAATTAAGTGTTCTACTTGAACAGCAGGAACCACTTAAGAAACAAGACATATGGAAATTCAATGAACCGACAAAGCAAACTGATTTTTCATCTGAGAGAACATCAACAAAATCTGAATTCGCATCAATCCAGAATTTTTCCTCAGAAATGGCAGCAAGCAAACCAGAAATACAAAGTAATTCAGTTTCCGGGTCCGGTTATTTAAACTACACTAATTCATCCCAGTCTGTTAGAGAACAAAAGAGATCAGAAGATGGATTCAACTGGCGAAAATATGGACAGAAACAAGTTAAAGGGAGCGAAAATCCTCGCAGTTATTACAAGTGCACACATCCACATTGCTCAATGAAGAAGAAAGTTGAGAGGTCTTTGGATGGACAAATTACGGAAATAGTATATAAGGGCCATCATAACCACCCAAAACCACAGTCTACTAGAAGAACAAGCTCTCAAACAATTCATCAACCCTCTTCATCTTGCACCAACTCCGGGATTTCTGATCAATCAGTTGTGACCTTAGGCAATCCACAAATGGAGCCTGTCTCCATACAAGAAGATTCTTCAGCTTCTGTGGGGGAGGAAGATTTTGAGCAAACATCACAAACCAGTTATTCTGGAGGAAATGAAGACGACCTTGGACCAGAAGCCAAGAGATGGTAAGATCAACAAACTAAAGTCTAATGACTCGATTCATTATTTTAGAATGAAATTGTATAGGTTTATATAACTAATTCTGATTCTCATTGTTTCAGGAAGGGAGATATTGAAAATGATGGCTATTCTGCCTCAGGGAGTAGAACTGTTAAAGAGCCTAGAGTTGTTGTTCAAACCACAAGCGAAATTGATATACTTGATGATGGCTATAGGTGGAGGAAATATGGACAGAAAGTAGTCAAGGGAAACCCAAATGCAAGGTAAATTAACTAATGCAAAGACCCAAAGTTGTTGGTTTTAATTTAAGTGTTACAATTCATGCCATTTCCAATGCCATAACTTAATTATTCAAAATATTCTATCTGCAGGAGTTATTACAAATGCACAGCCCCTGGTTGTTCAGTGAGAAAACATGTTGAGCGAGCTGCACACGACATCAAAGCTGTGATCACGACTTATGAGGGGAAACACAACCATGATGTACCTGCTGCACGTGGTAGCGCAGGCTATAATATGAACAGAAATTCTCTAAACAGCAACGTACCACCGCCTATTAGACCCTCGGCAGTGAACTGTTATTCAAGTTCATCAGGTTTCACAAATTCACTTTATAATACTAGGCTTCCAGTAACTGGAAATCAAGAATCATTTTCACCGGACAAGTTGCAGAACCCTGGAAGTTTTGGGTATTCGGCTCTTAGTAGATCAATTGGTTCATATGCCAATCATGCACAATACTCAGATGCTGCATACTCAAAGACCAAGGATGAGAGGAAGGATGACTCATTCCTTCAGTCATTTCTGTCAAAGGACTTCTAAATTTGGGACCACAACTTTATTATTATCTTGGCTATGTTTTTGTATAGCATTTAGGATTTTAGTTATTCATAGTAGAATATGAAGTTATAAACATAGAATCATGAATATTTACTTGTTTACCTCGGTTATATTAGTACTACAGCAAGAGCGACAGCAAATAGCTGTTATACTTATTACCATCTGTCAAGTTCATCTCCCAAAAGAAATTTTCAATTTAATTATAGGATTGACTGATGAATTCTGTTATTCTTTTGTTGTATTGTAGGGAAAAGAAGTTTCTTTGGAAGAATCTAATGATATTCCATTACGTTGTAACGTGTGCTTGTGCTGGAAATTTCCATTATGCTCTCTCAACTTTTAGTTTTTATTTAATGATCTGGGATGAGCATGGGGAAGTTCAGGACTTCCTTAATTTGCACCAACATAATCATAGGAATTTTGATGAATTTTCAATTCGATAGTCGTTGAGGACCCTAAAAACAAAACGTAGTCCATACTGCAAATTTTGATGATGATGAATGTTAAGTGACTTCTGAATGAATTTAGAAAACACAACTGAGAAAGTTTATGTAGCTGAAAAAATTGTAATAAATTCAGTGCATAAAAGTTGAAAGCTGTAGGATTTCAATAAAAATGAAATTTTTAAAATTTTTTTATGTACTTAAGTAATCAGATTGTGAGGAAAATAAAATAAAATTCAGGTCTGACTGCTGCTGCTTGTGTTTCACAGTCAGACTTGAATAATGCATTCACCACAATACTTCTTATTTTTTCTATTTATTTTGCCAAATTGGTCAATAAATAGTCTCAAGTAAAAGAACATATTCAACATTATATGTATTCGTGTATGAAATCAATATCAGATCTGTAACATATGCACAGAGCCAGAGAGGTGATGCCTGACTCCCTTTCTCAGAAAAAATATACAGTTCAATGTGACTTGTGGAGAAGTACGATAGTATGAAACAATAATATGGAGAGTTTTTGTGAAAGTTCAGATATAAGGTTGAGTTGATAGTTTGTAGCCTGAAATAAGGGCTGACACTGCTAGACAAAAGAAGGCAAAAATGGACATGCTAATGGCTGCAGCTGAAGAATCTGTAAATATATTGTCTGCTCCTTCCCTCATTCTATTCGTCATTGGAATTGCCGCAGATGCCGATGATATCAAAAGATATGCAATGATCTGCAATAAAAGATGTTGCTAATCAAGCTACCATTTCATAGTCCTTCAAAAGCCAAATAGCCAATCATAGAGGTTTAAACAAATACTGTCAAAAGCTTTGAATTGTTCAAAACACAGCCTCTCTACCAATCCACAGGTCATATGAAATATTATATGGCAGAGCCATCATTAGGACTCGTTAACTAGTCCAAAACCATATACTAAGACCAATAAACTCTTCCCCTCTTTTGATTTCATTATTGAATTTGATGCATTTGAAACGTCATTGGAAGTTTGTACATCCTTAGAAAAAACTTCATTTTATTATTGATTGTTTTACGCTAGTTAAGCTTTCATTTCATTCCCTCCCCAGAGTTAACTTCAGAGAGAAATAAAAAATTTCCAATTCAACCTCATGGACATTGGTGATAGCTCAATGCCTCAATCAAAACGGCTAAAGCTGAGTCTTCCCTAACTATTAAATAATACAAATTTAATTTGCAATACGTTACAAAACATCTCATCAACTAATCAAAAGATTATTCAATTTTAAATTTTCAAATAAATAAATAACCAAATGAGAATTGAATTCAACTTCAACAAACTGAGTTTGAATCATGATTTCTCACTAGCCATAGAATCAGAATTGGGTACAAAAGAGTACCGATAACATAAAAATCAATGTGATAACAGAGAAATGATTTCAAACCTGATCACCAAAGAAGTCAATCATAGCTGCCATTCTAGGCTGAAGCAATTGTTTTCCGGTGGAAAATTCCTGAAGTTGACGGAAAGCTTGGGCTCCAGTGTACAAACTAGACAAAATCGCAATGGCCAACAAATACCTATCATCTCCAAAATCCAATTCAACTTCATCACTCTCATGAACCAAATCCCACTATCTAACAATTATCACCATCTCAAAATTAACCGACTATACTAACAACAACTTCGAGTTTGACACGAGTGATTTTATATTATATCTCAATTCCCAAATCAACATTAAAAAAATCAAATTTTGATCAAAACCCATTAATCTTAATAAAATTATCTCTAAAGGGGTGCCAGATTTCTACCTGTACTCTTCATATTTATCGAACTCTCTCCAATCGCCATGTTTGTTACTGGCCGTGACAATGAAGGAAATCAGAGAGAAAAGAAGAGCGATCCCTCTCAACCCCAACGACCCTCTCTTGATCAAGTCCTCCCTCTTCCACCGCCGCAGGATTCCGGCAACTCCGCCGTCGCCCGTCGCTGGCGTTTGGTGGTTCACCCTCGGCGCAGAAGGTTCCACTGGCGGAGTCTCAACATGTATTTTTGGCGACGAATTATTATCTTGATTCGACATTTATAGGCCTCTGAATTCAGATTTCAAAGAATTGAAGTAGGAAAAAAATGAAAAAGAAGAAATTAAAGTTTGTTGGATCTTTTGTTTTGCATGTGTTATTGTTTTGTTTGTTTATGTAAAATCGTTATGGAAGTTAACGATGTTTCCGGGTCTGAGATTACTAGCGTGTGATGATTACTGTGGTGACGTGGCGTGATACGATTGGTTGGAAGAGTGTGAAGTACGACAAAGGCATTGCCAGCTGCTAGAGGCTGTACACGTGTCTTATTCTGATGAACAAGGGTTTGAGTGCCAGAGTGGCCAAGTGAATAAGAAATAAAATTTATATAAATATAAAATCATATAGGTTTATTAAAAGTAGTATAATGATATTACATTTAGCTTATCCGGTAAAGTGTGATTTCTTTTCAGCGATTTGACTTTTTCTCTCTTGCAGGAGCGTCGTTTACTATGTGTGGAATGATTTTTTTTTTTGGTTGATTTGGAGTCTGATGTAATTGCTGTGACTTTGAATTTGGAATTGAAATGATACTTTACATAAGAGCATCAAATATGTCTTTAATTATGAATATTTTATTTGTATTCTTTGAATTATGCTAAATAATTTGATAACAATCTACCATAAATTTTTTATAGTACTATTTTGACTGGCATTGTATTTCTAGAGCTGTTAAGGGGAGTTTTGTTGGTAGATGGAAAATGCAAGTGTTATTTTTTAAATAATTTATATTACACATTATGTAGTTATCATGGAAAGGAAAGCAATTGTGAGCAAGAGATGAAGGAAAAAGCCTACGGATTCTGTTAGTTAGTTCTTTCAAATTTGTCTATTTTTTTATGGTACTTTAGTTAGAAAGACACCTATCATATAAATGCTTGGATTTCATAACATGGTGTCCAGTTTCTCTTCATGTAAGACACTTAACAGTTAACCTATCTTCATATTAGACATTTTATCGCGCTGTTTATGCTTTAACACTTTGATACAGTGGATGAATATGATTTGGCTTTGTAACCTTTTCAGTGGTTGTGGTTTATGATACAGTTGGATGGTTCTGCTATGGATCCCACTGCACCATGGATTTCTAAGGAGTGCTTGATGCTTTGTTTAATCCAGTAGGTCTCAGTGCTATTATTTCTCTCACATTTTGCTCATTCCTTCACCAAAATTTAGTCTCTCTCTTGTACCATTAATACTAAAAAAGCAAAGGTGAAGTGACAGCCTGTGATTTATAATGAGGAGCTATGCGTTCAGCAAGTTAAACCCAAATCCATATTCCATAAGATTTTTCAGGATTCTTTACCCTTTGAATTTAATTGTAGCATCAACCTTATTCATAACAAATAACATTCAAACGACTCCTTGAAATCTAGAAGGTAACAGTGATTAGCTTAACTGAGGTTCTATGCATTCATTTTGAAAGATATATTGAATTATTGGATCAAGTTCTACATGAATATTAATAAAATAATTTCCATCTAATTTTTCATCAATATAGGCATAGGATTAGTTTAAAGGAAAACAAATGCTGAAGAGTTTAGATTCAACGATAAAATAAATCCTATGCCACATCTCTCAAGCATCAATCAATTACTTTTATCTTCAATATTTTTTGTTAATTTGCTTAACATTGAAACCAGCACATACATCCAATTAGCTTTGAAATTTGTGCATATATTTTGAAAGTATTGTACTCTCTTTTCGAAATTCTGCAACTGCAAGCTTGGTTATTTTTCTTTTTATATCAATCCGATTTTTCATAGCTGAAAATTTGCATGCTTATGTAATTTAGAATACACGGGAATACTCATCACAATCCTTCCAGCACTTGTCTTCTATTGAAATCTGTTTAATTTGGTGATAGACTTTATCTTAATATTTACTTAGTAACTTTTTGCCAAAATTTTCCAGGCTTGGACATTGTAATATTTACTCATTAAAATCCTTCCAATGCTTCTTCTTTCTTATTCTAGTCTTACATGGATTTTTCTTAGATTTGTGCAAGCCTATAAACTCTTCTAAAACTGGTTGCAGGCTTAGGCAGAATATGAACCTTCTTCCAATTAATCCTTTATTCATCTAGTTACTAAAATAAGCTACGATAGAACTATGAACTATGATTTGTTCCTCCACTTTAACAACAAAATTAGTGTGCAAAATTTCTATTCTGACAGCAGTATATCTTTGTTGCCATTATGTTTACTATGAAGAAACAAGAAATTTTGTGCTTTCAGCACATAACTAATATGCTTGGGAAAAGAGACAAAATATGTTTCCAGAAAGTAGGAAGCCAACTGACTTTCTTTCAAATAAACTTGCTACTAAAAGCAATGTTTACTTTTATTCTTCACACCGTTCACCAACATCAAACAATGCTATGAACATGTTGGTAAAAACTATAATCTTCAAATTCCCTGATCAAGTTAAGCAATTGCATTTCTCAAATCCTTTCATCTCTTGCATATTCATCCTTCATACAATCTCCAAATTGCTTTTGCTGTTTTTCTTTTAAGTCATGATCTTGGTGAAAATGGTTGTTGAAACACCAGTTAAGAGGCATGATTTTGTCTTTTCTTTCCAAATTTTTCCTTGTGACTTTTTATATGGGCTATGGTAAGATTGTGTGGCAGTGGAGGAAATTCATAATTCTCTTCAACAATTTCCCAAAGATTCACAGCCTCCAAGTAAGCTTATATTTTGAAAGTCCAAAGATCATATTTTTTTCCATCAAAGACTAGAGGAGCAACTAATGAGAAATTATATTCAGCGTCCATTTTTACACGTTCCTGAGAAGACAGAAATTGATACCAATTTGTTGGTTTTATGGCAGAAAAAACATAACAAACAGAGAAGCGAAGAGCAGAATTGGAATTGTGAGAAGGAGCGGGAAAACTCACTTATTCAACAACAATAGTTCATTTATAATTATTCAAATAAAACAGAAAGCAACTACATAACTAAGGTTTCAGTAAACTTAGATAACAAAAACGGACTTACTCCTAACTAGGATGCTTATGCAGCTTATCGAATAAATTGAAACAACAAAAAAAGAAAAAGTCATGTGCAGCTACAAAAGCATGTTTCACATATCATAACAGTTCACAAGTAGTAAATTAGCTGAACTCTAGATACATGGAAAGCTTAGCTGGATAAGAAATACGCGAAAGTTGCTCCATCTAATTTACAAGCCTTCATTAGCCACACTGCCGAAGCACACGAATAGTCCTATCCATCATTTCAATGATCTAATCTGATTCCTTTCTAGAGCCCTTGATATCATCAACAATTTTAGCTCATCTAAAACCTTCCTCTACAGTCTTCTTGGCAGAATCACCAAGTTTTCTTGCTCTCCTCCTCAATTCCCTGCTCTCTTCTTCACTTCCCATCAACAGAACCACAGCCTTTGCAATCTCTTCTCTTCTCGCTGATGCATCCACACCAACACTCGTCCAAAACTTGTTTTCTTTGGAGCCTACCGGGACTCCAATTTTCAAGACATCAACCACCAGCTTCTCATTGTAAAATCGGTCTGCAGACATAGGCCATGTGACCATTGGCAAACCAGCACTCACGCTTTCAAGAATGGAGTTCCAACCACAGTGAGTCACAATACCTCCTATGGCAGGGTGGTCCAATATCAGCAGCTGTTGTGCCCTGTTCCATATGATATAACCCCTTGTTGGTTTCTTTCATCCTTTGCTCAAAATCTTGCGGGAAACTGTCTTCATTCTCATCTCCATTCTTTATCCTAACGACCCAGATGAAATTTTGACCAGAATTTTCAAGTCAATTTCAACAATCTAAGCACGAGGAAGCTTGGCTAGGCTTCTAAAACTTAAAAAGTACAGACTCATTTTGCTTAGAGTTAAGCCAGTTTACTCTGACTCTTGTGGAAGGTCCTCCATGTTTCCCCTATAGGCCTTTTTTCCTTACCCAGTTTTCTAGCTGCACAGTGGTAATCTCTATGTTATGTGGAAGTCCAGGAACTAAAAACTTTTGGGTATCGGAATATAACCTCTCATGTGGCTAATGCTTCCTAACAAAATGAGTGGTACAGCTTGTGAAGTAGCTTGAGCTGAAAAAGTGAAGCCTTGGAATGCCAAGTTTTGCAGCAGACTCCATTTTCCAACGATAAAGAAGCTCAGCTACAATATAATCCGCTTGCAGATCATGAAACAGAAGCTCAAGTTGATCTTTATGCATCGATATTCCATTACTAACATTACTCACAATTTCTCGGGGAAGTTCTTGCTTTGATGTCTTCAACCCCATCAGGGAGACCAAGTTGGGGTGATGGAAATTGAATCACATGAGTTCTGATGCTGTATCCACTACTGAAATCCTTATCTATGGCTTTCTGGAAAGTCAAAGCACTAGCATGGGTAGTGATAGTGGTAACATTTGCACCGTGTTTGGCAAATAGCCTTGCTGCGTCTACCACCAGGTGCTGGATATGGAAGAAAAATGACATTTAGTTGGTTGGATTGAGATTCTGTCTTCATGGCATGTTGAGATGAGAAAAACAGCTCAAACTTATGTTTCTAAACACAATCAGCTTATACCCCTTTCATTCTTTCTACTTCCTTGAGCATGGTTCACGCGGCACTTATGAAATTCTTTTACATGATCATTTCATCTTTCGTGTGGTAATGATGATCTTATTATATGATCAGATGAATTAAATAATTGACATTTCGTGTTTGTTTGATCATTAAGCTGGTTCTTGTCCTCCCTGTTATTCAAAATAAGAAGAATTCTTTATTCTTGACTCACTTGGACATGCTTATGTTAGTTTCTCTTGCTTATGCTTCATTGGATGTTTTTATTACTGCCCCTGTGAATTGTCCGTATGTTTTTTAGGATTTATATTCTTCAACTAGTTATTTTTAAATTTCTCTTATAATGTTCTACGTCCGATTCAATTTATAAAAAATAATTGCCAATAAATTTTTTATTGTAAATATAAAACATAAGTACTTTTTTTTATGTACATTTATTGTTAAATTCTTTTTATAACTTTATTTATTATAAGATTTGTTTTAAGAAGTCCATCATTTATCCATGAAAGTGGATACATTCTTTCATTTAATATATAACATTAATTTGACCATTTGATTCTACATGTATCTTTGAATTAATATAAATTTAATTAATATAATTACTTATTTTTTTTATTTTAATAAGTTAAGTATTTATAAGACCAAATTTAAAAAATATTAAGTCAATCAGTTACTTTATATTTTTATAGTTTTTAAATATTTTTCTATTTTAATTTATAAATTTTAAAAGTTACATAAATCTAGAACTTGTAAATGAACATCGATGAGTATTGACTCATGTAGTAAATTGAACACTTATAACACATTTCATTGAGTAAATAATTTAAGATTAATGCAATTAATTAGAATATTCAATAGAAAGATGTTATTACTTGGACTGGAATGAGTTATTCAATTATTAATAGTTTGCAGTTAGTTTTTGAACGGTTCAGATAAAAAATTACAATTGAATTTAAAGAAAAGAAGTTGAATTAATGCATAATATTTTTGTTAGGCACATGCATAACTGATTGAGGGAACATGAGCTTGATAGAACATGTAAGAATAGAATTTTTTTTTGCTAAAGGTGACATTTTTTATTACACTTTTTCAAACACAAAATTTTAGATTTTTTATACATTTTTACGCATGGATGTCTTTCATTCCATGTTTACTTCTCTTTTGTATGAGTTTTTAATGGAAAGTAAGGATACATCCCTCCATTCTTTTTATTCTTTAATGGAATAGTGATTCCTATATTTATATTTTTTTGTAATTTTTCTTCAGTTGAATATGGAGTTTATTTCTGTAATATATTTCAGTTCTTTCTTCTTTATTTCTATTATGTCTTGCTAATTTTATTAGGGTTGAGAAATGATGAACTTAATCCTTTGTCTATTGCAATGAACTAAACATTAAAGATAATTCAAATACAATCTGTAATCTAACATATTTAATTCAAAGTTTAATGTTTCTCTGCTTCTTAGCACTTAGAGTTGATGAAAAGAAACTCAACTGAAAAATTGTAATCTTTTTTTGGATTTAGATTAAATCACTCATTATGAATTATCTAGGAATAAGAATCTCTAATGATATGATCATGTTGATTTCTAAACTTAATGTTGATTATCTTCTTTTTTACTTATGGAATTAGGAATCTATAATTAGTTTAGAACCAATCAACTAAAGAATTATTAGTATTGGGTACTGTGAAAAATTTGACCATTAAATTGGATTATATTTTTAGTTATATATATTTAACTCAATTTTTATTTCTTTATTTAATTACATTTTGCAACTTAACTTCATTTATAGTTAATTTCTTACACCTAACTTTTACACTTAATGTTAATTTAATTTTTCAACACTTTTAGCTTACCTTTACCTTCTGTATAATATTTAAAGTTTCTTTTAAAGTCTTACTCTGATTTTCAACCCAACTAGTGATATTTTTGTAATTTAGTAATTAACATTAATCTCAATAAATGATAAAATTTAATTGTTATTGAAAACAATTTAGTACACTTATTAATTTGTTTATCAAACATACTTCTTAATTTTATTAAAATATATTTATTGTAATTTATAATAAAAATATTACAGAAAAAAAATAACTAGGTAAGACATGATAATTAATAAATGTTTTAACAACAATAATAATTGTGATATAATTCCAATGACAACGACGACGAACGATGATCACGAGGACTGATAATAATGTTAACATAATTGTATCCTCTCTTGTTAACTCGTCTAAAACAATAAATTAAGACCAATACACGTATCCTCTCTTGTGATTGTACTATTGAAGCACATAAAAAAGTCATTGAAAGTTGTACATACTTAGGAAAGCACTTCATTTAATTATTGATTAATTCAATTTGCAATATACTACCTGGTCTTAAATATAAGATACTCTTAACTACTTCACAAGAATTAAGAAATGTAGTTAATTTTAATGATATATTAAATTTAGTAACAATTTGAATGATGTTTTTAAAACTACTCTTAAAATTATTGGGACTCATCGTCTTATTCCCTTTAATCATGTAAGTCTCAATGCTATCTTTTATCCTATTAAAAGAAAGAAAAATAACCTGAAATCATCTGTGATTTATTGCCAGGGGCTACATGGTTTAACAAGATAAACCTATCCATAATGCACAACATTATTTAGGATTCCTTACCCTTGGACTATAAAATTAGCCTTGTTTTATTTATTGTAAATTGCAATCAAAAGGTGTCCATAAAAGAATAAAAGTTACAATGAGAAGCTAAAGTGATGATCTGTGCGTTTATTTTGCAAGATATATTGAATTATTAGATGAACTTCTGTATGAATAATAATAATAAAACACAATGTTCAACGGGTTTAGAAAAGCCAAACTGACATTATTTCAAATAAACTTGCTGCTGGCAACAATGGTTTACTTTTGTGATTCATGATGCTGTTCCGCAAACATTGAACTACACCATGCAACATGGCTTGATAAAAACTAAAATCTTATTTCAGAACAGTGCACAAACAATTAACAACAAGAACTTAAATAGCTGGAAACTTGGAAGTGGTTTCATTTTATTATAACCTTCATCAGTAACACTTCCTAAACACAAGAAGTAGTTTTCCATTTCAATTATCTAATTTGCTTTCTTAAGTGCTCTTGATATCTTCAGTAAATTTAGCTCATCTATCAGCTGCTTCAAGTTGTTGTAAGAGGATCCACCCTCCTCTATGGTCTTCCTGGAAACCTCACCAAGTTTTCTTGCTCTCCTCCTCATTTCTACGCTCTCTTCTTCTTTTCCCATCAACAGTACCACAGCCTTCTCAATCTCTTCCCTTCTCACTGATGCATCCACACCAATATTTGTCCAAAACGTGTTTTCTTTCGATCCTACAGGGACTCCAATTTTCAACACATCAACTACCAACTTCTCATTGTAAAATTGGTCTGAAAAGATAGGCCATGTGACCATTGGCAAACCAGCACTCACGCTTTCAAGAATGGAATTCCAACCACAGTGAGTCACAAATCCTCCTATGGCAGGGTGATCCAATATCAGCAGCTGAGGTGCCCAGTTCCATATGATAAAACCCTTGTGGCTTTCTCTCATCCTTTGCTCAAAATCTTGAAGAAAATTATCTTCGTTCTCATCTTCAATCTTTATCCTAATGACCCAGATGAAGTCTTGACCAGAACTTTCAAGCCCATGGGCAATTTCAACAAGCTGAGCATAAGGGAGCCTGACTAGGCTTCCAAAACTCACATAAATTACAGACTCATTTTGCTTAGAGTTAAGCCAATTTAGCCACTCTGGTTCTTCTTCAACACCCTCCTTGTGTCCCTTATTGTCCTTATTTTCATCACCCTTTTTAACCCAGGCTGAAACTGGTCCAACACTCCAACACTTGATTCCCTTAGTGCTCTTATAAAGTTGCTCATAGTCACCTTCAAATTCATGAAAACTATTGTATAACGTTCCATAGCTTCTGCTCTCTGATTCAAATACTGCTTCCAAATACTCTGTGTATTCACTCCTAGTTCTAACCCATTCTTCTAGCTGCTGTGGAGTCATCTCTATGTTATGTGGCAGTCCAGGAATTGAAAACTTTTGGTTATCAGAAACAAGCCTCTCATGAGGCTTATGCTTGCTGATAAAGTGAATGGCACAGGCTGTGATGCAGCTTGAGCTATAAAAGTAAAGCCTTGGAATGCCAAGTTTTGCAGCAGATTCCACTGTCCAAAGATAAAGTGGATCAGTTACTATACAATCTGGTTGCATATCCTGGAACAGAAGTTCAGTTTGATCTTGGAGCATTGATATTCCATTGCTTATTTTTCTTAACGTTTCTCTTGAAGTGCTGGCTTGGAAGTTTTCAACCCCATCAGGGAGACCAACTTGAGATGCTGGGAATGGAATCACATGTGTTCTGATGTAGTATCCATAACTGAAATCTTTATCAATGGCTTTTTGGAAAGTCAAAGCATTAGCATAGGTAGTGATAATGGTAACACTAGCACCATGCTTTGCAAATAGCCTTGCTGTGTCTATCATGGGGTTCATATGGCCAGGTGCTGGATATGGAAGAAAAATTACATGCAATTGGTGGGGTTGAGATTGCATTTTCATGGCAAATTGAGATGAGAAAATTAAGACTGCTCAAACTTCTCTTTCCAAACACAATAAGAGTCTTTCTCTCTTTCAATCTACCTAATTTCTAGAGCTTGTTTTATGTAGTTAGTGACATTCATTTTACATGATTAGTTGACTTAAATAATTGTCCTTAACGGTATGTTTGGTTGTGAGGGAAATAGGAAAATGGAAAATGTGTTTCTATGTTTGGTTGTAGGTACGATAAGGTAAGAGAAAAGAGAAGTTTGGTCCCAAAAACAAATCTCTCTTTTCCAGAAAAGCAATAGTATCGAATGGAAGAGGGAGCACATTCCTGCATGGAATTTTTTTTACTTTTTTATTTTTTTAATATTAAAATAATATAAAACAATATATATATATATATATATATATATATATGAATATAATTTTTATTAAAAACTGATTATAATAAAAAAAATTAAACTTTTTATATTATTTTAAATATATTTTAATTATGATTTTTTATTTTTTTACTCATCTAAAATTTTGTTTTATCATTTACTTCCTTTCTGTTTCAACTTATCTAACTATGTTTTTTTTAATCATTTTTTTCTCTCAATTTATTCTTCTTTACTTCACCTCATATTTAAACAAACTATTAGTATATATCTTATCTAGGCCATAATTTAAAGATTAAGTATTTGAAAAAATAAAAAAAAGTATTTATTATATCAAATTTATAAAAATATAATAAATATTTTCATAAAATTTTGTTATTAGTTGTACTCTAAATTCAGTCTGAAGTTAACAATTTTTCTTAATTTAATCATTAAGACAGTTCTTTTTGTCCCAGTTATTATTGGCATACTTTATAAACATCTTTCCTTTCCTTGTGCTTCATTTAACATGTTTCTTCACGACACTCTTGATTGCATCTACTTTTTGGTTTTATTTTTATTAAATTGTCTTTTTTTTAATTTCTTTCTTTTTTATGTTAAATTTTATATTTCATCCTAATGAAACATTAGATGCCTATCCTTTCTAATTATTTATTTCCAGATCTATCGTCATTGCATGTTAAATGAAGATATATACTTTCAAATCTACTTATTTTCAGATGTTTTCGTATACTTTTCTTAATGACACATGCATTCTAAATTATAAATTTAAATTATTCGGAATTAATGATTCCTATCTGTTGTATAATCTTAATTTTTTTTCTCTTTTAATATATATTTTAAACATTTACATGATTTGGCTATGGACGTTTTTATAATTTTAAAAATTTTCTATTAAAAATAATTTATTTTTTATATATATTTTTTAACTTCATTTGAACTTAAAAATCATTCCTGCTTAGCATACTTATACCATTTTTTAATCAGAATATATGCATTACAATTTATATTAAAATATACAAAATTTTAAACTTAGATAATTAATAAATTACAAAATATAATTGAAATTGTCTATATATAATATATATTTAAATTATTAACAAATTTATTATTTTTTAACAATATAATTAAATGATATATTAAGAAATTATAATATATTTAATAAATACTTTTTTTCATATTAATAAAACAATTCTAAACAGTATTATTAAAAATTAACTATTAACGATTTAATGTCTAAAACATATAATCAGAAAAATATGTACTAAAATATTTAACATTTTATTATTCTTTAGAATAAATTTAATTTTTTAAAAATTTAAAATAATAAAAATATGTAAGAAATTAGTAAAAAAAATGTCTTAAATGTTCAAAATATACTAAATGTTATATTCATTAATAAAAATTATTAGAAATGCTATTATTAAAATATTTACTATACATTTAATACCTAAAATTATATACTAATAAAAAATGTACAAAAATTCATTATTAATATTTAGAGTAAATTTATTATTATTTGTTTAAATTGAATTTATAAACATATTTTAAAACAGTAAACTTTGTATATACATTAGTGTTTAATTTTGTGTAATTAATTTAACCAAACAATTTCATATTAAATTTTAATAACACATTGAAATTTTATATTCATTAATCATAATATATTTATTATATGAATGGTTTTTTATATTAATAAAATTATTAGAAATGTTATTATTAACAATAATTTTTACAAGTTTAATACCTAAAATATATTCTAATTGAAATATGTACTTAAAAAGTTTATTACTTTTATTATTAGTGATTTTTTAATTAAATTTAATTTATAATATATTTTACAATAATAAAATTAGAATGAACATTAATATAATAAGAGTTTTGTTAACCTTAACTCTTAGAAATGAGAATAAACAGTTAATAATAATAAAATTTTATTAGAAAAAAGTATTTATTATATTTTTATAACTTCAATACAATAATTATATATTTTTTCATAAAATTTTTATTTATGAATGCTTAAACTAAATCCTTAGAGCTGAGATTAACAAAATCCATATAATAAACATAATTTAAGTTACTTTTAAATTTAAATATTTTAATTATTATTTTTTATTAAATATTTTAAAGTAACAAAATTCAAATGCATAACAATACATTACAAAATTACTCAGAATTTTCTTATGTGTTAACAATTTGATCCAGATATTACATTAAATTGAATTAGATTTATCATAAATAATTGAATAAGAAAAAAACTTTACATATAATACAACATATTTACTGGATAATTTATATATTAAATAAATAAATTTTTGTTAATTTATAGATAATAAATTAAACTACAAGGTTAACAAAAACTCTAACTTACAAATCTAATATGTTGTATTGAAATCGTTAATAAATATAAGATTCAAAAGTATGATACTATGACTTTAATTTTAATTATTATATTTGAAAATATTAAGTTGAAAAATAAAGTGATTTTTTTTATCATTTAATTAAAACAACATACATTTTTTCACTACATATACATATTGTATGTAATATTTTTTTTATTTTTTAATTACAAAATTGTCACTTTATTATCATTATGTTTCTTGTTTTATAAAATTTATACAAGAAACTTTTCAGTGTTTCTTGTACAAATATTTAAAAATAAAAAATAAAAAAAAATGTTCTGAACTCAAATAGCCCCCCTTAAGCTGTTTTGTTTAAAAATTCTTTCTTGTTTTCATTTTCTGGTGTCAATTTTAGTTATAAATCAAGCAATTTATTTTGCTAAAATTTCTGTTTTTAAATATTTGTACATGAAATAACAAAACAAGAAAAAATATTTTTATTAATTTTTTTACAAAATTAAAAAATAGGAAATAAAATAAAAATATGATGATAGTTTTGTAATTAAGATTAAAAAGAAAATCAAAACAGAAAACCTTTTTTCCTTTAAACCTAACAAGTCTTTAGCTGCAAAAAAATACATTGATGTTTTTCCATCTTATTTCAAGTCTCATTTGCTACTCTGCTCAGTTCAAATATCTATTTTAGTTTTGCTGAACAAGGAAAGTAGCAGAGGGAAAGAGGTGATAGGTGTGGGAAAATTAGATCTTAAAGAGATTTTCAAACACTTTCATTTTCTTACTCTTAATTCTTAACTCTTTAGTTGAATTGATGCACAAGCTTCTCTCAAATTTGGGGTGAGACTTCTACCAAAAAAAAATGATAGGTATTAAATGACTTTCACCTTTCTAAAGATAAATCACTACATTCAAAATGAATGTACATATTTTTAATAATCAAAGTAATAATTCTAAAATATTAAATAAATTCATTATTTTTTTTCATGCATGAATGTATATGGGAATGTATCTAATTAATTAAGGAAGAATAATTCCAAAGATATATAGAAAAGTTGCTACAAACATGCAAAATTTTATTGAAACCAACTTTCACTTGAGTACATTTGAAAATCAGAAGAGATCATGCTCCATGGTTTTAAGAAGTACTACTGATAACTAAGCAAAAACACAAAAACTAGCATATCAACTAACAGTTAGAAAAAAAATGTTCTGAACTCAAAGGGTTAGAAAAAAAAAAAGCGATCATTTCCTCAAGAACCAAACACGTGATGGACGATTGTTGAGTCATTATCAAAACAACTAAGTTTTCTAAAGATTTTGTAATATAGAGTCAAACCTAAGTCAATTCACGGAGATACATTCTCAGTCAAATTTAATTTTAGGTTTTTTTTTAAAAAATGCAAACAAAGTTTTTGGGGTTTTAAAAATTGCAATTAATCAAATTAAATTATGAACAGAATTAAAGTAAGTAAAAAATGAATTAAGAAATATCAATCCACAAAATACCAATTACGTGTAACTCCGACTATCACAGTATCTAAAGATTTAAATCCACGTTTAAACAATTACTCAATTCAATTATTAATTCAATCGAATAACCTAATTGAATAGAGTTACAAAATAAATTAAATAATCATTTATCTAATTCATATTAATTATCAAATTAGAGCATCAATCGAGTCCTAATTTGAAATCTAACAATAGAAAAGTCAATCACGATCGCAATAAACAATTTTGAAATTAGAGAGAAAAAGAGAATAAACTTGGAGCAATTAGCGTAGAACTCAAGTTGAAATTACAGCGTTTGGATTCTGCAAATTGAACGAGAGATTTAGTCTTCTATCGAAACGGTTAACCCACGCAAGAATGAGAAAAGAACGAGAGAGTTCGAGAGAAAGTAAAAATAAGAATTCTTATTTCGGACAAGTCTCAAAAGCTCAAAGTGTCTAATTACTCTCCCTAATTCAGAATCTTATTAGTCTATTTATAGGTTCTGATTAGGGTAAATTAAGTGGCCAAAATGCAGGCCTCAATAATATCTAAAAGTCTAAATACAATTATTAAATAATAAGGATCTAAATGCAATCTTGCAACAATATTCAATAAATATGCCTCAACTTCAAAAATTATAAAAAATAGAAAAAACTCTAAATCTAGCAATCCGTATATGCATTTTGAAGCGCTAGATGTGCAGAATCCAATGCAACTGGAATCAGCCAAAAATAATATATGTAAAAAAAGTTATAGCAAAAAAAGTAGTCAAAATAATCAAAAATTTAAAATTAAAGCATTTATTTGTAATAGGTCTAATTTATTCAAATAAATAAAAAATAATAAAAACTATAAAAATAAAGTATATAAAAAAGTGTTTATTAATCAAAATAAAACATTAAATATAAATATAAAATATATTACATCAACACGTAATAAATGACATTCTAATCCTGGGCTCATATTCTAATTCTAACTTGTTCAAATTGAAAACTTCAAAAGCATTCCAAGGCACCTTCTCAACATTTTTTTTCAAGTGCCCTTGATATCTTTAGCGACTTTAATTCATCTAACAACTGGATCAAGTTGTTGTAGGAGGATCCACCCTTCTCAATAGTCTTCTTGGCAGCATGACCAAGTTCTTTTGCTCTTCTCTTCATTTCCCTGCTCTCTTCTTCATTTACCATCAACACAACCACAGCCTTAGCAATCTCTTCCCTTCTAACTGTCGCATCCTCACCAACATTAGTCCAAGGCTTGTTTTCTTTGGACCCTACTGGGACTCCAATTTTCAACACCTCAGCTACCAACTTCTCATTGTAAAATTGGTCTGCAAACATAGGCCATGTGACCATTGGCAAACCAGAACTCACACTTTCAAGGATAGAATTCCAACCACAGTGAGTCAAAATTCCACCTATTGCAGGGTGGTCCAATATCAACAGCTGAGGTGCCCAGTTCCATATGATAAAACCTTTGTTGCTTTCTTTCATCCTTTGCTCGAAATCTTGCAGGAAACTCTCTTCATTCTCATCTCCATCCTTTTTCCTAACGACCCAGATGAAATCATGACCAGAATTTTCAAGCCCATGAGCAATTTCAACAATCTGAGCATGAGGGAGCTTGGTTAGGCTTCCAAAACTCACATAAAGTACAGACTCATTTTGCTTAGAGTTAAGCCACTTTAGCCACTCTGGTTCTTCTTCAATACTCTCCTTGTGTCCCCTATTGGCCTTATCTTCATCACCCTTGTTAACCCAGGCTGAAACTGGCCCTACACTCCAACACTTGATCCCCTTTGTGCTCTTATAAAGCTGCTCATAATCACCTTCAAGTTCCTGAAAACTGTTGTACAGTGTTCCGTAGCTTGTGTTCTCTGAATCATATACAATCCCCAAGTAATATGTAAATGGACTCTTATTCCTCAGCCATTCTTCTAGCTGCACAGTGGTAATCTCTATGTTATGTGGAAGGCCAGGAATAAAAAACTTTTGGGTATCAGAATCTAACCTCTCATGAGGCTTATGCTTCCTAACAAAATGAGTGGTGCAACTTGTGAAGTAGCTTGAACTGAAAAAGTGAAGCCTTGGAATGCCAAGTTTTGCAGCAGATTCCACTGTCCAAGGATAAAGAAGATCGGCTACAATACAATCAGCTTCAAGATCCTGAAACAGAAGCTCAATTTGATCTCTGAGCATCGTTATTCCTTGACTTATGTTAAATTCCATTTGTCTTGAAGTGCTTGTTTTGATGTCTTCAACACCATCAGGGAGACCAAGTTGAGATGATGGGAATTGAACCAGTTGTGTTCTGATGCTGTATCCACAGCTGAAGTCACTATCTATGGCTTTTTGGAAAGTCAAAGCATTAGCATGGGTAGTGATTATGGTAACATTTGCACCGTGTTTGGCAAATACCCTTGCTGTGTCTACCATAGGGATCATATGACCAGGAGCTGGATAAGGAAGAAAAATTACATTTAGTTGGTGGGGTTGAGATTCTGTCTCCATGGCAAGTTGAGATGAGAAAAATTACTCACACTAACACTGCTCTTTCCAAGCACTTCCTAGAACATGTTTCAAATGGTACGTGATTTTTGTTTTTATATGAGTGGTTGAAGATGTTACGTGTTATGATGATGATAATATTTTTTGCATGTTAAAATATATTCACCAGTGTTATGCTCGGGAAGGGAGTGCTTTATCTTTGCTTTAACCCGGTTTTGATGCAGTGCCACGGACAAAAATAAGTTTATATCAATAATATACGATAATATTAAATATTAACTTTTTATTAAAATTTTAATTAATAAAATAACTCTTAAAAATGGCATATAAATTTTGTCCTCTTCCCTGAGCCTGTGGTGCACCCTGCCACTGAATATTAAAAGGATTCGCATTGCCTGTATCTACTGACTGATCTCTGTTATACTTCCCTTAAATAATTTAATTTAGATTTAATTTTCTTTTTGATTTTATACTATAATATACGTTTATTTTTTATTTTTTTTATATTTATCCTTTTTAAATTTTAAATGATAAAAATAAAATTTTACTACATAATTAAAATTTTATTATATTTTTATTTAAATATTTTATATATGTTTTTATTTATATGTATAAATTAATAAAATTGTTTATTTTTATTGTTATAATTAAATATTAAATAAATATTTTAATAAAAAATTAATTTAAACATCTAAAAAAAACAAAAACAAAAAATGTGAGCATTGGAATTAAGAAAACAAAGTTACACAGTGAAGTCTTTTTTTTAATTTAAGGCACCAGTCGTTGGGATTCGGATTTACACGAATCTCAAGTGACGTGACCTGTTTTAATAATAGTCTTTTTAATAAATCTATTGTTAATGTTGTCGTATGCCACTACGCCACCCAAATAAAATTTTAATTTTAATTGTAATTAAATAATCATAGTTTTGTTAATTTTAATTTTTAAAATTGAACTTAAATTTTTTAAAAGAACAAGTTTTAAATATTTATCATATAACATAATAAAAATTTAAAATGTATTACTTTTAAATATTTAAACTTTTTTTAAAAATAAAATTAATAAAAACAACACAAAATTATTTGAATAATTATAATTAAATTTTGTATTTTAAAATTTTTTTCTCACCAAGAATCCTCTGCCTGTTTCAGCACCGAGAACGCGTAAAAGAAATTGAATTAAAATAAAGAAGTTAGAAAATGAATTGAATAGCGTTTTGGACAATGAAATCAGTTGACTAATCATAAAACTAAGAGGACATCGCCTTCAGAAGGTTGGAATTTTGCTGGTGATCTTTTCAAGTAAATTCTTTACAATAATTTCTGTGAAATTTTGTTAAACATATGATAGGCTTTTCAAAGTGGTTGAAAATACATTAAAATTTTATAAATATAAATTTTATACAAAATTTATAATTAATAATATTCAAATAAAAATAAACTCATACCCATTCAAATGTTCATTTAAACATTTGTTTCATTTCAAATAAATTGAAACATCCTCCTCTAAAAAAAACACTAAAAAATTAAAATTAAAATAAAACATCATCTTATGCACAAACTCTTATTTTTATTTTATTTAGTAATTTTGAACCGTGTTAGGGATTAGGTCTCATTTTTTGTCCACCCTACCAAACAGATGGCAAAGCAACATTTGAGTATAGCGACAACTTCATGTTTTAAATTTTTAAAATGTCTTTAATTTATTTAATCTATACTCTTCTTTAATAATTGTGAATGAATTTTAATTTAATAATAATTTTTTAACGTTTGTGTACTAAAACATATTAAAAATACTGTTTATTTATACTTTAGTATAAAATATTATAAAAAAAAATTGGTAGAATATTCTCTCTCTTTTCATATGTTATTTTTTTATGTTTATGTGAGTAAAATCGCTGTGGAAGGCAAAAACGACAATGTTCGACGACGTGGCGTGTGGGACAAAGGCATGTGAAACTGCATCCCCAACAACAAAATATTCAATATTATACATTTTTATATATTATAATATTACATAGTATAATTTAATAAAAATTAATATTTATTTTATTATATATTTTAAACTTACTTTAAAAAAATATTTATATTTATATTAAGCATGTACGAGAATTTTCTTCATGCAAAGAGTGCGTGTTTAAAAAATTAATCCTCAACTGTGCTTTGCACGAGTTATCTTAAAAAATAAACATCAGAAAGTTTGACTTTTTTTTACCTATTTTTATTAAAATTAGTATAAATATGTAAATCATGTATATTATTTTCATAAAAAAATATTTAAAGTTACTATTATATTGTATTGTAGTTAGCATTTTATCAATCATTAATAAAACGATGACTTTCAAGAACGAACAAATTAATGACATGCGAGAAGAGAAACGGTAAATTAAAATGGCCCAGGGTTTGGAAACTAAAATAAATTATTTAGTAAAATTTAATATTATAATAATATAATTTTGAAGGATGAGATTTAATATAATTAAAAATTTACTATTGATTAGTAAAAAAAAATTAAATTTACTATTGATAAATAGATCAGTATTATTTAAGCAAAATTTTGAGTTTAAATCTTTGTATATATAAAAAAAATTTAGTAATAAATTTACTTACCACGTCCATGTACTCAACCTTAGTTAAATCTGAATTAAACTGAATGAGTAATCTAAATTAAAAATTCATTCTTATGTGTTAAAATATATTGTTGATTGAAATAGAGTTATTTAATAAAATATTAAATAAATTTTAAATTTTATCAAATTTGATAGACGTTATTTGATCATTAAAAATTCTTAATTAATAAAATTATGCGATGATAAAAAATTATTCAATGCAGTAAATTATTCAACTTTTCAAATTATAAAAAATATGAAATCAATGTATAAATGGTAAAAATTAAAATTTAGTAAGTGATTACATTATCACTTAAGAAGTCGTGTCATATTTTTTAATCTTAACTATTTAAATAAAATTTAATAATTTATATTTTTTTTTTATTCTCACAATGATACAAAAATTTCATATATAGATTAAATCTATATATATAACTGAATTGAAACTTCTAATAACATTATTAGAGTGAATAATGTGGAATTCAACTGTTAAATTTAAAATTATTCTAAAAAATATCAAGATTATATTTACAAAATTTTATACAATTTAAAATTTATTTAATACTTTATTATCGTTACTTTGATTTAACTTGTAGGATGTTATTTAAAATATAAATAAATAATTATTATTCGATAACATCTATAAATTTTTGGATTATATAAAAATTTATATGCATAATTAACATAATAATGCTACATAAATTAATAGTTAAATTGAAAAAAATCATTTTTAAGAAAAATTATTGAGTGTATCATTTCGCTTATGTCATTTCATTCTTATTTTTCATTATGTTTGTAGAATTTTTATTGTTATAACAATTGTCTTTCTACAGTTGATATACATTTCTTTTTAATAAAAACATAATTGTTAGTTTGGATTTTTTGAATTTACATTAGCAATATAATATATTATACTGATAATTTATCAGTAATATTATTTGGTGGTGAAGTATTTAAATTGTTTACTAACAATTATTTTTATTAGAAAAAGTATATATTAACAAAGGTTATCTTAATATTTGTCAATTTTTTGTTATGTTAGTAAATATTTTTTTGTATTAGCTTAAACTAATGCACTTGAAACAAAAAAATACAATGGAGTCTCATAGATAGTTACTTAAAAACTAAAGCAAGAGAAAAATAAAGGAAGTAACAATAAAAAAAATAATATAAATGAAGACTTTTTTGTCGTTAATTATTTATCAAATGCTTTTATATTGGAAGAAAAATATATCCACCGATAAAAATTTATTTAAAATGTGTTATATATCCTAATCACTTTAAACATAAAATCAATTACAATGAAATAAAATTAATATAATAATGAGTAATGAAGTTATTTTTTAAAATCACGTAATAAGAGAATCAATGGAGACATTTATATTTAAAATATGATATAGATAACAATAAAAATTTAGATTATTTGTAAGTGTTTTAAAGAGATTGTCTAAGTCTTTCGAAAAAAATATATTATATCTTCACCTATGTAAGTATATATATCAAGTGCATCTTTATAACATCATCCATAATCAAGCTATGTATCTATTAAGAACATGTAATTCATTTTCGTGTCAAGTACTATAGCATGCTATATAGATAAGAAATGATATTCATAAAAGTATTTATATAATTTCACTTGACCACTAATACAATGTCTATCATATTTTACTTCACTCAAGACTTTAAATTCATTCCTCAACATATCTAAAATAATTTTCTTAATTTATCTTTTTGTAAAAAGGTTTACAAGTTTTTCTTTCAATTTTAATATATGAATTAATCTATTGATTTCGTCTCAAAAATACCATCATTGTAAGCTATGAATCCATTGAGAAATGAATTTTTTTAGATAATTATTATTTAACAAGCACTACACATTCAACATAAATGTGCACTCTCTTGCCATTATAGGATGATTGACATATTTCCACAGTGGAGCACTTACTACCAAGTCTCAACCATTTTGCCTCATGTCTTATCATCTCAATAACAATAAATTTAAGTTATCTATAAATTTTTTTAAAAATAGACCTTTCATCTAATAAAAATGTAATTGTTTGTGAAACTTACCTCTCCATATTTTGTCATTAAGAATAAAAGAAAACTTTTTTATCACTTTTCTTTTTTATTTCAATCATATATAAGTATATAATCAAATTAGTTATGATAAATTATTCATTTGTCATTACATTAAATGGAAGTTCTAAAAATCAAGTAATCTATATGCTCATTTACAAGGCTAGTAAACTTTCTAATTAAAGAAAAATCCAAATATAAGATTGTCAATATTTTTCTTTATATATTCAAATTTTTACTAATCCATACAATATCAATAAGTTATCAATATAGCCACATAAATATACTATTTATTAGGTAATATACTTAAAACACACAT